ACTCTGAGAATTTGGAATCCTAGTTCTAAGAGAAAAACTTCCAGTTCAACATTGTTACTTAACCATTTTGAAATCAGGATTACATGTCATTCAGAAATTATTACCAAAGATGGCAGAGTTGTGGGAAATCAGCTCTTAGCTGACAACGGTGTAGAGCTTTAGGGTCTGAAATGTTTACTTTTCAGTCCCTCTAAGAAATTTTCAATATGAAGTTTGCATAATAGCTGTGAAGAGCAAGTTATGATATAATGTATAACATTTTGAGTAGTTGAAAAATCAAATATATGAAAGCTGAAAAAATTCAGCTATCTGAAAATGTAGTTTAGTGGAGAGCTGTGATCATTATGGGCAATTACGTTTTAACAGGGGAAAAAAAAGCCAATGCGGTGTCCTGTACAGGGCTAGTGTCACAACTTTGTGCCGTTTGCCACTTAGAGGCCTGGGGCAGCTATTCCCAGTGCTCCTTTGCCCGTTTGGCAGAAAGAAGCAGTCAGCTGCTGCTGCTTGCAGCTCTCCTCATTTGTTCCTGTTCTGACTGCCATGTCCGCTTCTACACTGTGAAAGCTTTTAGTTCTGAAGGATAGGCCGCAGGAGCCAGGGTGTGTTGAAGTGTCTAACATACCTCCTTTTCCTGCTTGCAGAGAAACCGCAGGCTGCTAAGCCACAACTGAACTTTATTGCCATCATGATAATAAGACGTCTTTGTCTTGCAGTCATTTTATTTTTAATGCTGCCTTATTAAGACACCAGAATCAGCAGAGAAGTGGATTTTAATTCTGGAATGCATACTATAGAGAAGTTGCTTTCTTTGTTAAAAGATTTTTCTGGGCCCGGCGCGGTGGCGCAAGTGGTTAAAGGTCCTCACCTTGCCGCCTGGGATCCCATAAGGGGCGCCGGTTCTAATCCCGGCAGCCCCGCTTCCCTTCCAGCTCCCTGCCTGTGGCCTGGGAAAGCAGCGGAGGACGGCCCAGGGCTTTGGGAACCTGCACCCGCGTGGGAGACCCGGAAGAGGCTCCTGGCATAGTGTCGGCCCGTTGCGCTCACTTGGGGAGTGAATCATCGGACGGAAGATCTTCCTCTCTGTCTCTCCTCTCTGTATATCTGCCTTTCCAATGAAAAAATAATAAAAATAAATCTTTAAAAAAAAAAAAAAGATTTTTCTGCCTTCAGGTAATTGTCACGAAATTCTGTGATTCTCAGAAGCTTTTCTATTTTAACTATGGGTATTCTATGAACTTCCAAGAAGTCACCAAGAGCAGAGCCACTTTAGACTTCAATTTAATATGCAGTTTGGCAAGCTGAATCCCAAGCATCTCAAACTAGTTTTATTTTTAGCTATATTTCAGACCTTTGCTCACTGCCATAAGTGTGTGTGTATTGCATATGCTCCCAGTGTGAGATCAGTCTTCTATTCTTTGCTTTGTACTTTGCAATTCTATCGTTTTTTTCATTTACTATTGTTAAGTACAGTTACTTAGCAGAGAGCTTTGTTAATGCTGGCAGTTACCTAAAAAAAATACTGAAAACAGAATTAATCTTTGTTAAAATTCAGTTGAAAAAAACTGATTTTTAATTTGCAAAAGGCCAGGGCCTAATAAATGGTAAAGTCTAGACTAGCAGTTGTAAAACATTGTTGATATAAAACAAGCAGATGAAGGGAAGGAAAAGGGAGGAGGCTGGAAGAGGAAAAATTGAGTACCTACTATGTGCTGAGCAATGTAGTACGTGCATTTCCTGTGTAATCATGATAATCCTGAGCAGTAGATAGCTCTCCCCCATTTACAGAAGAATGAGTGAAGGTGCAGAAAGCTCACCCGATCTGGAGTATAAGGAGGAAGTGGATGTGCACTTCTAGCTGTGTTGTGCTGTGCTTCTACCAAACCAAGGGTTGGCAAACGCCAGCCGATGGGCCAGTGCCCCTGTTTGCTTTTGTAAATGGTGTTGTATTGACACTCAGCCATGTTTGATCTGTCAGATGTGGTCTGTGGCTTTCTAGCTACAGTAACAGAGTGAAGTATCACCCGTGGGTGCTTCAGAAAGTTTATGTAAAAGTAGAATTAAACAGAAGTATATTGTGTGCAAAAAAAAAAAATTTAAATCCATGCATAGCTTTTTCATGCTATGTATTTTCCATGAGTTTCGTCAAGTGCCCTTGTCCAGTTCACAAGGCCCTTTGGCCTGCCTGGCCCCTGACACAGACAGGCTACTGACACCTGCACTCAACACTCCTTGCGTAAAGGTGCTGCAAGTTCATGCGGCTTCAGGAATGCAACCTAGCACTTCCTAGAACATTAGACTTGAACAAGAACCACAAAGTAGATTCCCCACAGTCTAATAAGAAAAGCAGAGTATTGACTTAGCCACAAGCCATGAGTGTTCAAAACCTTTTAGTGTTAAATTTACATAGATAGGCTTGGACAATTTAAACATAGTCCTTTGTATTCCTGCAACTTTATGTATTATAACTCACATTTAAAAATCAATACTTACATGACATTCTCATTGGATATTTGTGACATTTAAACTTTCTCTCTAGTTTATGCAAGCAAATTTTTCTTTGTTTATAACATCATATAGCTTAAATTTTAAAAATGCATGATTGTGGGCCCAGCATAATAGCCTAGTGGCTAAAGTACTTGCCTTGCATGCACCTGGATCCCATATGGGTGCAAATTCATGTCCCAGCTGCTCCATTTCCCTTCCAGCTCCGTGCCTGTAGCCTGAAAGCAGTCGAGGATGGCCCAAAGCCATCCCACATGGGACTCTGTACCCAAGTGGGAGACCCGGAAGAAACTTCTTTCTCCTAACTTCAGGTTGGCTCAGCTCTGACCCTTGCATCCAGTTGAGTAAACCTGTGGGTAGATCTTCCTGTATCTCCTTCTCTGTGTTTACAATAAAAATAAATAAATAAATATATATTTTAAAATCCATGATTGTAATGGAATTAAGACTAAGGGTTCTGGGGCCTGACATATAGCCTAGCAGCTAAAGTCCTCACCTTGGGTGTACCTTGTGAGAGACCTGCAGGAAGTTCCTGGCTCCTGGCTCCAAATCGGCACAGCACGGGCCATTGCGCTCACTTGGGGAGTGAATCATCGGACGGAGGATCTTCCTCTCTGTCTCTCCTCTGTATACCCGACTTTGTAATATAAGTAAATCTTTTTTAAAAAAAAAAAGCAGGGCCCGGCGCGGTGGCGCAAGTGGTTAAAGGTCCTCGCCTTGCACGCCCGGGATCCCATATGGGCGCCGGTTCTAGTCCCGGCAGCCCCCCTTCCCTTCCAGCTCCCTGCCTGTGGCCTGGGAAAGCAGTCGAGGACGGCCCAAAGCTTTGGGACCCTGCACCGCGTGGGAGACCCGGAAGAGGCTCCTGGCTTCGGATCGGCATAGCATCGGCCGTTGCGCTCACTTGGGGAGTGAATCATCGGACGGAAGATCTTCCTCTCTGTCTCTCCTCTCTGTATATCCGCCTTTCCAATGAAAAAATAATAAAAATAAATCTTTAAAAAAAAAAAAAAAGCAAAATAAATATTGCATATGTATGTTACATGGACAGGTGTCCCCTAAGGACTTTTGGTTGAAGCAAACACAGAAGAGTTACTTTAGGCTCCAGGAGCTGCAGCTTTGAAAACCATGTAGGGACACAGCTGGCAAATTCTTAGGCAAGCAAGACTTATCAGATGAATCTAAGGGGAATAGAGCCATTACTGCTTTAAATTATGCATTTCCTGGTGAGTTTCAAACCTTATTGATCAAATCTTTAAAGAGAAATAGACTTTAAAAATAACTGAAGGCCACAAAAAGGCTTCTCGGTGTGATTATACTTTTTAACATTAGGAAAGGCGGTACGTAATGCACATTTGGAGTATTATTGATTTTTTAAAATATCTTGTTACTTTAAATAACTGTAACATTACATTCTTAGATATTTCTTTGTAGGTTGGATACAAATTACATTTTCTTATAGAGCCTTTTAGTAAAGTAGTGCTGACGTGTAAACCAAAGAAATTGTGTTACCAGTTAATCTAATTCAGAACTCAAGAGTTGTTTATAATTTGAGCAGTATTCTATCAGGGAAGATAACGCCAAAGCAACCGCAAGTTTTCATTTCCTCAGGAGGGACCCCAGAGTTCATGTGATTTCCTTTACTTGTGGCTATAGATAAGAATACACAGGTGAGGCATTCAGCCTGGAGGTGAAGGTGCCAGTCTAGATGCCAGGCAACAGTGTTCATTTTCCCACTCTGGCTTCTGACTTGTGGGCACCAGAATGATGACTTCTAGAGACAATGACAATTGTTTGTGCATATGCCAGATATTCTATAAACTTTTACTCTCCTTATAGAAAAGATCATCTTCCTTGCTGTCCAGATGGGAATTTGAGGCTTTTTGAGGGTGAATATGTACTTAAAGTTAACTAAGAGTGTAGGCAAATGCAAGGGCTTCAGGCCCGCGTTCGCTGTTTCTGTGGCCTCCCTGGTCCATCTCGCTTGCTTCAGTACCAAAGGCCCGCATGATTGTTGTAGTCTCCTTCTAAAGAATTCTTAAGTATTTCATGTTTTCAGCCTTGTTTGAATTCTTTCTGGTAGAACTAGTAGTCTTATCATGTTTGTAATCAATGTTATTAGTTTGCTAAGTGTATGCAACCATAAAACTGAGGCTCATTTCCTGCCCAATTAAAGAGAAAAGCAGAAAAGTTTATAAATGTGTAGATAAGTCTTGTAGTCCAAAGTACAGTCCTTGACAGCTTAGCCGTTGGTTGCATCATGAGAAAAATGTTACAGTTTAACAAGAAGTTAATTTGGACAATACTAAAAATTTCTCCAGGGTTTTTTGCTTGTATCTGTGGCTAAGAAGAACTCTGCAAAGTTCAATGTAACTTACCCGCTTCTGTGTGCTTCCCAGACTTTATTAGTGTTCTTCATTGTGATGTTGTTTCTTTAGGATATAATGTTGTTTTAGTTTGTGTTTTACAAACTAATATGAATAACTTTTCTCTATCAGAATGTGAAACCATGTCACAGAAGCATTCAAGAAGTAGCTGAAGGAGGAACAATTTAAGTGCCACTGCCTATCAGGAAAAAAAAAAAAACAAACAAACCAACCATGGGAAATACAACCACCAAGTTCCGTAAAGCGCTCATCAATGGTGATGAAAATCTGGCCTGCCAAATATATGAAAACAACCCTCAGCTGAAAGAATCCCTTGATCCAAATACATCTTATGGGGAGCCCTACCAGCACAATACTCCACTCCACTATGCTGCTAGACACGGAATGAACAGGATATTAGGGTGAGTATTACTGCAGAGCGACTGAGCACACTGGTGAGAGGCAGAAGTGAACTGTGGTCTTTGTAAGTGCACGGTTTATCGTCCTGAGTTAAATTTTCTAAAACTGCATTCGCCTATTTTTTAATATGTGTTTTTATTTTATTTATTTATTTATATTGAAAGTCAGATATACAGAGAGGAAGATCTTTCATGCATTGATTCACTCTCCAAGCAGCCACAACAGCCGATCCAAAGTGAGAGCCAGGAGCAAGGCTCTGGGTTCTGAGATAAAATACCTCAGTGGGGTCAGTAGGTGTGTTTGCCCTGTCTAGTCTGAAGCAGATTTAAGTTTCCTTTCTTTTAATGGGTCTTGGTACTTGAAAAGACTTTTTTAAAGTCAACACATTTAAAATTGAAAATATTAAGAAACATTTACAAGTATCTCTTCATAAAAACCTATTAGTGACAAAGCAAATAGAGTTATTTGAAAATTCTTACCTAGGTGCATAGAAGCTACACTTGATGTTTACTAGCTTATAAAATGAAAGAATTGAAGGCTAGCACAAGGGTATTTCCAAAACAAGGTAACTCCTCTCAAAATTGATTATGTAGTTATGCAGATCTGATGTAGTAGAAAGACAAACTTTGTTGCTTAAGAAATGTAATGTAATTCTTAGACAGGATTCAGAGCTCTTTAGAACTTGACACAAAAAAACCTTTTCTTTCAGCCTTGTTTCCAGTTCTTCAGTTCACAAATTGTTCTAGTTAAGCTGCTCTGTTAGGTATCCACAAAACAAGCTGTGGCGACCGCTGGCCATGTCCATGCTGCTTTCAAGGCCAGCACTGACCTCCTTCCCTTTTTAATCTTTCTGTGCATGCCACCGCTGTCTTCTTAGACTGTCATAATTCATAGGAACCTCAGGATTTTTTGACTTAGATCATTTCTTTGCTTCACTTGTCTGCTGTACACTACCTCATTGTATTTACAGTTTGGATCTCTTTTCTCTGTCTACCTGCAATTTTGTTTTTTAAGTACCTTCTGGGCATAGCTGGCACCTAATGTAATATATTTATATTTATTTATTTGTTTCTCTGAGATATCAAGAGAAGGATCTTTTCGTGGACTGGGTCAGCTCAAAGCCAGGAGGCAGCAACTCCATGTACGGCTGCCACGTGGAGAGCAGGGTCTAGGGTGTTGCGTCTCTTTCCTGCTTTCCTGGAACATGCGAGGAGAAGGAGCCTGAACTCACCTGGCACTCTGATGGAATGCAGGCACTCCAGCAGCAGTTTAACCCGGTGTGCCGTAACACTCACTGCCTAGAATAGTATCCTACACAGAATAAATGAAAGTTTTGTAATATGATTACATAAGAAATATCTTCATACTTGGGATGTGTGTATGAGAAAAATAATTTAGGTTATCTATCCCTGTGACTTTATCAAAAATATTTGAAATCTGTAGATTTTTTAAGATTTAATTTTATTGCAAAAGCACATATACAAAGAGAAGGACAGACAGGCAGAGAGAGAGAGGGAGAAAGAGAGAGCTTCCATCTGTTGGTTCACACCCCAAATGGCCACAACAGTTGGAGCTGAGCTGAATGGAAGCCAGGAGGCAGAAACCTCCTCTGGATCTCCCACGTGGGTGCAGGGGCCCAAGGACTAGAGCCATCTTCTGCTGCTTTCCCAGGTCATAAGCATGGAGCTGGATCAGAATGGAGCAGCCAGGACATGATCTGGTACGTGTATGGGTTGCCAACACTGAAGTCAAAGGATTAGCCTGATACACCACCATGCCAGTCTCCCAACTTTTGTAGATATTTTTGTTATCTCATTTTTGCATTGAAATTTTATTTTTATTTGTCTAAAGCTGGGCTTGGCACAATAGCCTAGCGGCCACAGTCCTCACCTTGCACACACCAGAATCTCATATGGGTGCCGGTTCTAATCCCAGGAGCCCCTCTTCCCATCCAGCTCCCTGCCTGTGGTCTGGGAAAGCAGTTAGGATGTTTATCCAAAGCCTTGGGACCCTGCACCCACGTGGGAGACACGGAAGAGCTCCTGGTTCCTGGTTTTGGATTGGCTCAGCTCCAGCCATTGCAGCCACTTAGGGAGTGAATCAATGGACAAAAGATCTTTCTGTCTCTCTTCCTCTCTGTATATCTGCTTTCCAGTTTAAAAAAAAAAAAATTTAAATTAGAGAAAAATATTTTTTAAAGCTTGAAAGCTTTAATCTTTCTTAATTGTTTGGAAAGCAGTGGCTCATTATTTCTTTATTAAGCCTTTAACATAGTAAATTAGAATCAGAAATTACTTTATTGCTCTCCTTCCCCAATTATAAATACTCCTAATTTTTAATCTGTGTATTCTGTTTGACATTTATTTAGATTGTTCATAGAGAATCACAGATCATTCTTTCTACTGCTTTATTGGGTATAGCTGACTAAAAGATTATATTGGTTTTTAAGATGTGCCATGTGATATTTTGATGTATTTGTTCATTTTGATTTATATGTACATTGATTACCACAATCAGGGTAATTAACCTGTCCATCACCTCACATAATTTAACCGTTGTGTGTGTGTGTATGGCAAAAATATTTTGGATGAACTACTAACAAAACTTGTAAGCATACAGCTCATGATCATCTGAAATCACTATACTATATGTATTTTCAGAACTGCCTCAATCTTCTAACTGAATATTTGTACGCTTTGTCCAACATCTCTCCACCTTATCCATCCCATCCCTTGATTCTTGGAACCCACATTCTATTCGGTTTCTAAGAGTTCAGTTGTTACAGATTGTACATGTAAGTAAGATAATGCAAAAATTGTGTATCTGTCCGGTTCATTTCACTTAATAATGGTCCTTAAGTTTTATCCATGCATTTCAAGTGGGAAGACTTCCTTTAAAAAAAAAAAAAAGATTTCTGGGCCTGGCACAGTAGCCTAGCAGTTAAAGTCTGGGATCCTGTATGGACACTAGTTCTAACCCTAGTGGCCCTGCTTCCCATCCAGCTCCCTGCTTGTGGCCTGGGAAAGCAGTTGAGGGTGGCCCAAGGCCTTGGGACCCTGCATCCACATGGGGGAGCCGGAAGAGGCTCCTGGCACCTGGCCTTGGATTGGCTCAGCTGTAGTAATTGTGGCCGCTTGAGGAGTGAATCATTGGAAAGAAGATCTTCTGTTTGTCTCTCCTCTTTGTATATCTGACTTTCCAATAAAAATAGATGAATCTTTTTAAAAAAGATTTCTATGTTTATTTATTTAAAGTCAGGGTGACAAAGAGATAGTCTTTCATCCATTTATTTATTCCGTAAATGACCGCAGCCACTGGGACTGAGCCAGCCTGGTAGCAGGACTCTGGATGGCCAGATCACGATGCACTGCTTTCCTGGCTGAATTAACATAAAGTGCCTGTTTAGAATGAAACCTTGCTTTGTAGTGCCTTTCCTTTAGCTCATGTTACCCGCACTAGCAGTGTCATTTTCCTCTTCTAGACAGGCAAAACGGTATAAAAAGCTTAACGTTCACCATGTGCTTGACCTCTGCCTCTGTCTGAACCCAAACTATATATGGCTTCATACCACGCGCTTCTGGGAGACCAAATCCACAGTGATAATCATGTAGCAAAAAGACATGAAGGTTCAACCCACTGTGTTATGATTTGAGTATATAATTCTTCATTTGCATCCCGCAGAACAGCTTCCTTTGCTTCTTTAGAAATAAAAGGAGCCTCTATTTGATATCATTAAAGTTTGTCTTTAGTAAAAACATAGTAATATTAAGGTCTGTGGACCTTAAGGATGAGTTAAGATAGAGTCTCTGTTGATTTTCATTTTTTCACTCTTGCATTTCAGGAGTTAAGTTCTGTCAAAAGAATGTAGTAAAAGCTGCCCATGGAAGCCGACACTGTAAGGACAGGGCCTTTTTTTTTTTCCAATACAAGATGCCCAACTTAATCAGCAGTGAGCAGTGAGTGCTCAACCAATTCCATAAGAGTAGGTTTTAATGAAACTGAGGTGTGATTATATAGTCCTGACTGAGGAATAGAATAATTGTTCCAAAAATGGAAGGGCCAATATTATAGCATAGCAGGTTACACTGCCACTTGACAGTGCCAATATTCCATGTACTTGCCAATTCATGTCTCCACTACTCCACTTCCAATCCAGCATCCTACTAATGTACCTAGGAAAGCAGCAGAGGATAACTCAAGGGCTTGGGTTTCTGTAGCCAGAGGAACCAGATGAAGCTCCTGCCACTGCTTGCTGTGTGGGTTCTTACACAACTTCATGGCTTACCCGGTGGCTTTTACACAACTCACAGAAACCGACTCACTGAAAGCTGGTAGTACATGTTGATAAGAAGCGGAATGCTCACTGTCCCCTCGGAAGTGTGGAGCTGACGTAGTCATCTGAATTACCCTTACTTGCCCTTCCTTCCTGTTTTCCTACTCCTTTTCTTCTTGTTTTCTTTTTTCTCCTTTTCCTTCATTTCACCTCTTTTCCCTTCCTGTTCATTAGCAACTACTATAAAATATTCCTTTCTCTTTTTTTGGTACTGTTACTCTAGAGTGGAGATTTTTTGTTTTTTTTCAGCTGTGATACTTAGTCATCCCACTTCTTGTGACCCAAACTCCTCTGTAGAAACTGGTTTGTCAACTGAGAAATAGAGCTTGTCTTTTGAATTTGTTACCTTCTGCATATTTCCAGGTAGGAAAAAAGTGGTTTTCATGCTTCCTTTCCATTTTAGGACTTTTCTTTTTGGTAGAGATGGAAATCCAAATAAGCGGAATGTGCACAATGAAACATCTATGCATTTGTTGTGTATGGGACCTCAAATTATGATATCTGAAGGAGCCCTTCATCCTCGCTTAGCACGCCCCGCGGAAGATGACTGCAGAAGAGCGGATTGTCTGCAGATGATCTTAAGATGGAAAGGAGCAAAACTGGACCAGGGAGAATATGAGAGAGCGGCTATTGATGCTGTGGATAACAAGAAAAACACGCCCCTGCACTACGCCGCGGCCTCAGGGATGAAAGCCTGTGTTGAGGTAAGGCTTCTGGGGACTCCGCATTGTGCAGTGTGTGTCTCAGTAATACGGAGTCATTGGCATTTGTTTCACTTGTCTTTATAGTATTTTAATTAATAATTTTTGTCCTTTTTGTCATTGTGAAAAAAAAAACCAGGGCCACTTTCAGATCATTTATTTTATTATTACAGGGGCGAGAACTCTCACAGCCAGTTAGCCTTTGGAATGGAATGGGCTCATTTTTCCACAAATTTTGTGAAATACTCTCCCATCATACACAAGTAAACTACACCTCTTAGAGTATTAGTTTGTGATATTCAAGTGGTGTCACGCAACTTAGACTTTGCTTAGTAATTTGAATACTATTTTTCTGATCATACATTTGTACATCATTGTTAATCTGACTATAATAATGTCTGTGATTAAAAAAAACAACATCTGTATAATTCCATGTAATTTTCATGGAGCTCATTGGTACAATGCACAGTGCAAAGGTTAGAGATCATAATGTTGTGGAAAGAACACGGCTTCTGGCCTTGGCCTTCACTGTAACCATCCCCTAGACCTTCTGAAAGTCCACTCTGGGATGGCGGCATAGATAACCTCAAAGTGACCTCCAAAACTTCTCTTAGCACTAATATTCTACTAGTCTGTGATTGAAGATATATTCTATTTTCAGTGTCTAACATTTAAGGTTAAAGAGATCACTTTTTCCCATGTTTTATTCTGTGTATGTTTCTATAAGGATAAAGTTGATGAAGTCATCATTTGACAGTTTCGTATGTACATTTAATCATTTAAACAGGTAGGTTCCTGTGATACATTGCCTGTTTTAAAACTTCCTTTTTTCCTTGTAATGATTTTTTTTCCACAAAACATAAAATTACTACCCCTGTGATTTTGCTGGGACCCTTGAGGTGTGCAGGGACCTTGGCTGCGTGTAAAATCTCTGACACCCAGCTCTGCTGCCGGGCTAACTTCCTCATCTAGGCCCCCAGCTGTCTAAGTTGCAGCATTTCCAGCCCTCTCTGCCTGTTAGCCCCCTGACTCCTTGTTTCCATTAATTATGCTACCATTATCCCTATACCTAGAATTTTTTTTTAAGATTTATTTATTTTTATTGAAAAGATGTATACAGAGAGGAGGAGAGACAGCAAGGAAGATATTCCATCCGATGGTTCACTCCCCAAGTGAGCACAACAGCCAGTGTTGTGCCGATCCAAAGCCAGGAGCCAGGAACTTCTTCCAGGTCTCCCACGTGGGTGCAGGGTCCCAAGGCTTTGGGTCATCCTTGACTGCTTTCCCAGGCCACAATCAGGAAGCTGGATGGGAAGTGGAGTACACAGGGTTAGAACCAGTGCCCATATGGGATCCTGGCACATGCTTGGTGAGGACTTTAGCTGCTAAGCTACCATGCCAGGCCCTAGTCTTTCTTTAAGATTTATTTTAAGGTTTATATAGCTTGAAACTCAGAGTAAGAGAGGACAGACAGATTTCCTGTCTGCTGCTTCACTCCCCAAATGGCCATTGCAACCAGAGCTGCATCCGAGTCTCCCACATGGATGGCAGGGGTCTTGACATATGGGTCATCTTCTGTTACTTTTCCTAGGCCATTAGCAGGTAACTGATCAGAAGGAGAGCAGCAAGGACACAGACTGGCACTCACATGAGATGCTAGCATTGCAGGCTAACTCACAGTGCTACAATGCCAGCTCCTTTGACCAGTCTTGATACCTGAGCCTATCTTGGACTCTTGTTTTTTTCTTCTTTGGATTTTATTGCATCAAATTCATACTTCCCATAGACAGATTAAACTCCATGTTTTTCTAGCCAGATGTTTTATTTATTTATTTTTTTTACCATATGGGTATGCTAATATCAACAGATTTATGTTGAATCCTCATTTGGTATATTTTTTACAGTTTCTGTAAGTAATAAAATCTGCAATTTCACAAGTATTAGTTATTCAAAATTATTTAGGAAATAGAAGTAATGCAAAGAAGAGTAATCTTCAGTTATTTCAAAATTGAAAATGCTTACATTGATAAACCTTTGTTTAGGATAAACCAAAAGGAAAGCACCTCTAATTCATAAACAGGCAGCAATCTGCACTTGACCTGTAAACCTTAGCTTGTCATAAATCCAAGCATTATGGAAATATTTGAGGAAGCAAAGGTTTTTATTTTTAATGTATAAGTTGTTAATGTTGTGATTTTTGTTGTATAGTGGATTAAAACCCATGCAAGGTGCCCATGTACCATTTTCAGTGCTGGCTAGATTCGCAGCTACTCCATGTGGTGACTTACCTCCAGTGGGTGCATCCTAAGGGGCAGCAACTGATGACTCCTGTGGTGTTCCAGGCTCCTGGAGTCAGCCTGGCCCAGCCCTGCCTCATGTAGGCATTTGGGGAGTAAACCAGCACACTCTGCCTTTTAAATGATTTAAAATCAAGGTTTTTGAAGATATTTTTATTGAAGAGGCAGATTTACAGAGAGAAGGAGAGACAAAGAGAAAGATATTCCATCTGCTGGTTCACCCCTGAAGTTTCCACAACGGCCAGAGCTCAGCCAATCTGAAGCCAGGAGCTTCTTCTGAGTCTCCCACTTGGGTGCAGGTCCCCAGGGCTTTTGGCCATCCTTTACTGCTTTTCCACGGCACAAACAGGGAAGTGGAGCTGGGTGGGAAGTGGAGCAGCTGGGACATGAATTGGCACCCAAATGGGATTACAGCATGTGCAAGTTGAGGATTTAGTCACTGATCCATTGTGTTGTACTCTAAAACAAAATATTATTAAAAAAAAAATAAAGCAACACTATCAGTGTATAATACATCTATATACTTTAATTACAAAAAGGACTCGAAAAATAGAAACAAAGTTTGGAGCTGGTGTTGCAGCACCGTGCATTAAGCCACTGATTCTGATGCAGGCATCCCATGTGAATGCCAGTTTGAGTCTTCACTGATTCCTTTTGATGCAGGTCCCTGCTACCATACCTGTGAAGGCGGCAGCAGGTGGCCCACACACATTCTGGCCTCTTCCACTCACATGGCTACATCTAGATGGGATTTGGGGCTTGCCTGACCCAGCTCTGTCTATTTTGGCCATTTGGGGAGTGAGCTCGTGAATAGATGATTCTCTCACTCTGATTTTCAGATAAATTAATTAAATTTTAAAAGCATAAAATGTAAAATAATTTTTCTTCATTAGTAAGTTTTATTTTCTGTTTTTTTGCTAGAACAGGGCTCTGGAAAGAGACGATGGCTCAGATGTGTTAAAACATTTTATGCTACTTCTGCCTTAGTAAACTTTTAGAGCCAGCCAAGTTGCTAGGTCTCATTTTATTTGAATCCATGCCTAACCTGTAATAGTAACTCAGCAAATGATAGATGTGTTAGAGGTTGGATCTTTTGGCTAATCTTCATCTTTGTGTAAAGTATTACTTTTAAAATGAGTGTTATCTCAGACGGCTGCTATGTATTCACACCCCCTTGCTTACTCAGAGCTCTAAGTAAAGATGCCTAGTGTCAGACCAAATAGAGGTCACTAGAAAATCAACAGTGCTAAGTCACACTGGGCTGTAGTGCTAACGCCTGTTTGACACTTTCAGAGCATTTCACACTTCATTGAAAAACTGTAAGATAGTCATTTACAGGTCAGCATTTTACTGGGTTATATATAGTTTTTAGCACCTGCAGTTTTAAGGGTAAAGAATATAGAAATCATAGTCTCAGCTCAGCAGCTGAGTAGACATTAGTTTTCTAATATTTAACCAAGAGAGTTATGGTCTCATTATGATCTTGTCAAATATCATGATACTTTGGACTGTATTAATTATTCAGGTAGTAATTGTTTACAGGCATTGAAAAGAAGTGGATATCATCTCAATTATAAATATCCTGGAAGATTCCATGGTGAGTAGTAGGGTATAATGTGACTGACCTATAACATCAGTGCAAATTCTTAAACCCACCAAACCTCCAGATTCTAACAGAGAATCTCTGGGACTACTCATAGGAACGCCTTAGCAAGTTCTCCTGGTAATTCTTTCCCATGGCAGAATTGAGAGCCACCGTTGTAGGTCGCTAGCATATACAAGTTAATTTTTGGAGGTACAAGACGACAGGTGACTTAAAAGAACAGAGGCCTTACCATGGAGAAACCACTAAATACAGATTTCTTTTATAATATAAAAATTTCAGTCAGAAAACTTTTGGTAAGAAAAGTGATACTTTGAAAGGAAACATGATCAGATTGGTCTCATAGTTGCACTGTGGAATTGATTTGAATGAAATAATTCTAAAGGAGTGTTTCTTAGCTAATCAGAAAATGGTCCTTAACTGGTACTGACAGTAATCATCTAGGAACATGCTGGAAATAGTGACTCTCAGAATCTCGGGCTCTGTCCCAGATCGACTGAATCATAATTTGTAGTTTAAAAAAATCAGACACAGTGGCCCATCAGTCTAATCTTCCACCTGCAGCAGCAACACCTCATATGAGCTCCAGTTTGTGTGCTGCTGCTCCACTTGTGATCCAGTTCCCTCCTAATGGCCTTGGAAAGCAGTGAAGCATGGCCAAAGGCCTCGAGTCCTGGACCCATGGGGGAGACCCAGCAGAAGCTCCTCACTCCCAGCTTTGTGGTCATTTAGAGAGTGATCCAGTAACTGGAAGATTGTTCTCTGTGTCTCTTTTTCTCTCTCCAAGGGCAAATAAACAAATCTTTAAAAAATCTGAAGATGATTCATATTCACATGAAAGCTTGTACAACCCTAGCATGGAGCATAATCTGTGGCCAGTTTCTTTGGAACCAGCTATAAAAGTGTGCATATCTTTTGTCATCCCCCTCAGAATCCATGAAATATAACTATCAAACCACCTAGATGGTTCCAACAACAGCTATACAGAAACCTCAACCAATAAAATGAAAGATCTCAAGAGTGGACTACAGACATGGGCATTTTAAAGTTCTCCAGGTGGTTCCTGTATACAGCCAATGCTAAATACCAACGTACTAGCTACCGTGTCTGCTGAGAGTTAAAGATTATGGCAGACACCTGGTGTGAACTGTTACAGAGCCTGGATTTGTACAGTGGCATTGGAAATGAGGATGAGGCAAACACAAGAGATTTTGTAATGAACGGTAGCATTTTGTGACTTGGTCAGTGATAAAAAGAAAGCAAAAGATAGAAATAAAGTGACAGGGCCCGGTGCGATGGCGCAGTGGTTAAGGTCCTCGCCTAGCACGCCCGGGATCCCATATGGGCGCCGGTTCTAATCCCGGCAGCCCCGCTTCCCTTCCAGCTCCCTGCTTGTGGCCTGGGAAAGCAGTCGAGGACGGCCCAAAGCTTTGGGACCCTGCACCCGTGTGGGAGACCCGGAAGAGGCTCCTGGCTTCGGATCGGCATAGCATCGACCGTTGCGCTCACTTGGGGAGTGAAACATCGGATGGAAGATCTTCCTGTCTGTCTCTCCTCTCTGTATATCTGCCTTTCCAATGAAAAAATAATAAAAATAAATCTTCAAAAAAAAAAAAGAAATAAAGTGACAGAGCCTTTAAACTGTTATTATTGATAGTGGTAAGCTATCTTTGGATGATAGAATTTTCTCTTTGATTTTTTTCCCTACATTTTCTATAATAACCTTCATTCAGACCTATAATTAGACTAAAACAAATTAGCTGAATTTTTTAAATAGTGTGAACACAGTTTTAACCCTGAAGGACTTTCAAGCCTGTAACCATTAACAGATATCTGTAAAATGAAAGTAGGTAAAGGATTTGGTTAGAAGGAAGGGAGAATATATTAAGTTGTCATTTAAAATGGTTTAGATGAGGATGCTAGCTCATGTACCTAAAATGGTGGAAAGGCAATTGAAAATTAGAACTAAATGTAAATTTAAAAAAAAATAGATTTATGATTGAATGTCATTACAGAGTTGGTGACTAAAAGCAAGATAATATGTGGATGAAAGCCAAGGAAAAGCTTTAGGTGATTGATCAAATAATAGAGTTAAGGTCACAACGTCAGTGTAGAGAGGGACTATCTTTAAATGCCTCTGTTCCGTGAGAAATAGAACCTGTGAAGCAAATGGCAAAGGCAGAGAGGTAAGACTGTCAGGATGATACGACGTCAGGGATGCCAAGAGAATTTCAAGGAAAGGGAGTAGTCATGTGAAATGCTGCAGGAGGGTGCAGGAAGCAGAGGTCTGAGGAAGGCTCATGAGTTGAAAGTAAGAAGCGTTAACTATTTTCAGGAATATTTTTCCGGTGAAATGATCATGGTAGAAGTCAGGTTGCTGGGGATGGTTGAGTCATTCCATTACTGAGGAAGTAGGCACTGAGTGTAAGTGATTAATTTAAGAAATGTAGCTGAGGGGCCCGGCGCGGTGGCGCAAGTGGTTAAAGGTCCTCGCCTTGCACCCCCGGGATCCCATATGGGCGCCGGTTCTAATCCTGGCAGCCCCGCTTCCCTTCCAGCTCCCCGCTTGTGGCCTGGGAGAGCAGTCGAGGACGGCCCAAAGCTTTGGGAACCTGCACCCGCGTGGGAGACCCGGAAGAGGCTCCTGGCTTCGGATCGGCATAGTATCGGCCCGTTGCGCTCACTTGGGGAGTGAATCATCGGATGGAAGATCTTCCTCTCTGTCTCTCCTCTCTGTATATCCGCCTTTCCAATGAAAAAATAATAAAAATAAATCTTTAAAAAAAAAAAAAGAAATGTAGCTGAGAAAGAAAAGTATAGGCATGCATAGCTTAATGACAGGGATATATTGTGAGAACTACATCATTAGGCAGTTTTGTCATTGTCAGACAGCATAGAGTGTACTCTGACAAACCTACATGATGAAGTCTACTATGTATCTGTTGTACATAATTGCATGTGCTATAATCTTGTAGGACTGACTGTGCTGTAGATTTGCTTACACCAGTGTCACCACAGATGGGAGTAGTGCCTTGCTCTGTGATGTTACGATATGTGCAATATCAACTGGGCAGTGGGAATTTTTTCAGCTGCGTTATAATCTTACAGATCACCATCATATATGCAGTGCATTGTTGGAACAAAGTAGGTATGTGGTTCACAAGCCTGTTGGGAAAAGCACTAGATGGACAGCAGGCTTGAGTTAAGAGAGCAGTGGGCCAAGACCCAGTAGAAAGTGAAGATAGAAGGAATGGGGTGTCTAATGAATACTCAGAGGCATATAGGAAGTAGATGATAAAAGGGTAATTTTGAACCAGAACCTTAGGAATCATCTTGTTTTGCATCTTGCCTCAAAATTATAGGTCTCATTTTGCATGTAGGTCTGCATTAAATGACCCTTTAAAAAGCACTTACTCAGAAACAACAGCTGTGTAGATTGTGGGTCAAAAGGGCGGAGCAGGATTTATATGAATACTGAGGGCTATTCCTGTTGAATCCCCTTGCCCTCTTCCTCTGGAATCGCAAAAGAATGGCAAACTAGAAGACCAGACCGGTTGAGATACTTTTATTTAGATGTTAGAACATTTATATATCATCAAGTAAGTCCTCAAGACAAGATAAAAGCCACACTTGAATTCAATTCTTCCTTCAGTAGTCAATCCTCTTTGGCCAATTTGAATGAGAAAAATGGTAACTTAGGATACTTTGAGCATTTTAAAATGCCTCTTAAAAAACAAGTATAACTCCATTGTGTCAAAGCAAAATACCTGATTTTGTACAGCAACAGTTATTCTTATTATTCTGCAATATTCAGAAGCATGTAGTCCATTTTTTGTGTGTGAGTAATGGATAACCTGTGAGGCAGAGAAGCCAAAAACTGCAATAGATCGTGCTTTGAACTGTGTATCCATCCCCAGTGTTGAGTAGGTTAGTTATGAATGTGTCAGCATCTGCAGCCACACTGGTTTTACTCCAGGGTCATTGCTTTTCCACATGTATTCTTAGGTATATAAGAATCTTCTAGATGTTGGAATCTGTTGCAGCTTTTGAGGCTCTGGAGGAGAGCAGGTTAGGTGAGAAGTGTGAGATTATGCTTTTATAACAGGATTCCAATGATATTACTGGTCCCAGGCCACTCTTTGACTGAAAGGTCCTAGGTGGTAAACAACAGCTGATGCAACTTTGCTGTCCAACTCTGAAAGTTGGAAGCAACAATGACTGAAGAACTATCCCCAGAAAACCTTTTTCTGAAAGGCCAGATTGTAAATCTTTTAAGCTTTCTGGCCACAGATCTGTATTTTATGTTGTTGGTTTATTTATTTGCTTATTTTCACAACTTAAAACTTGTTAAAACTATCATAATTCTGAGACACAACCCTAGCCTGGGGTAGCAAGGCGGTGGCTTCCAGGCATGACACTACACTAGTAAAACCCTTGTTCTGTCTTAGGTGACTGTAGGGCAGCCATAACGAGTTCTGTTTCAAAGATCTTTGCAAACAAGGTCCCTGTGTGTGTTACAGGGGTGAAATGGAGAAGTGAAATTATTTGGAAGAAAATACGAAGTAGTTGTTTTTGATCAACCATCATGTAAAATGAACTCTAAACAGTCTGCACACTTAAGTCATAGAGTAGCACCTGTGAAAACACCAAGATGGATCCAGGCTGTATTTGACTCCTTCAGTCCATGTGATCATTCTATAATGTGCCACTGTAAAATCCAGTCATGATGACAGATTTGGCTAAACTTATCTCTAAACTGGCTTGGTAACTTTGGTCAAGTTCTTTAACTTTTCTGACATATAAAAATACTGTCATCACATGACACTGTTCACACTGAGAACATCTATTGTAGGTTCTTTCTGTGGTGTTTGGTAGCTAGAAAACAGTGAATAGATGGTGGCTGTTCCTGTCTTCCTGTGAGTAGGACTGAGTCCTGTAAAGCATTGTCCTTTCAGGATTGTCCCAAGTGAGGCTGCGTGGTTGTGGGATCCATGCCCTCACTCATGAGTTTACAGACAAATGGAGAAACTTGAACACAGACTTCAGTAACAGTGCACTAAACTTCAGAGCGCCCTGAGACCTCAGCAGGGAACAGTCATTGTTCCATTTGTCTTCCCACCTGATGTGTCAGCCTCCCTTCCTTTCTCTGGAGGGATGCTAAAAGCAGCTTTCCCTCGGTGACTGGCTGCACTAAATGTGTATCAGTATCTCACTGCCAGGGCGTTCAAGCAGTAGTCAGTATGGTAACAGTATCGACAATTTAAAAAAGATTTGTAGAAATTGTAGCATAATTTTAAATTTATAACATTAAATGATCATTTCTTTTATCTTTGAGTAAAGTTATAGTTTTAGACGGGAAAAATCCTTTGGAATTTCTCTTTGAAGCAGAAGAAACTGGCTTTTGGGGTTGTTGCAGTTTCTGTTGTTTTAACCAAAGGCTCTTTGTGTCACTGAAAAATAAAAACAATTATTTTGACATTGGGAGTCACTGGTATCTGAATAACCCATTCTGTACACCCTATTTGTTGTTGCTATGTCATTAAATGTGTTTGAATATGAAGCATAAAATAACTTGATTGCAAACTTTTGAAAGAGACTTTTTTAGCTTTTAGTAAAACATGGAGGAGACTTGTTTGCTGAGAATGAAAATAAAGATACTCCTTGTGATTGTGCTGAGAAGCAACACCACAAAGACCTGGCCCTCAATCTGGAATCTCAGATGGTATTCTCACGGGACCCAGAAGCTGAAGAAATAGAAGCAGAATATGCTGCATTAGACAAACGAGAGGTAAAAAAAAATTAATGGATCATTGTGATAACTGTTTTCAAGTTGAACTTTAATGTGCTTTTCAAATTCTGTATAATGCTCTTGGCAATGCACTAAATATCCTGTCTTCTCCATAGTCAGAAATCTGAAACCACATCTGGAAATCCTAAGGGGGGTGAGGTTTTCTCTCTCCTAGGTGAATGTGTTTACTTTCGTGTAAAGAGCATGTTGAGGTGTGACAGGAGACCCCTCTGCTCCTGTTACTCCAAGGCACTAGTCCTCTTCCTCTTCATTCTCTTCTTTTCTAGATGTTCTTACCAATAAACGTGCTTTGGCAACTCCCCATTGAGCAGGGGAAAAGATAGGAATGTAACCTTTCTATTGAGATGGCTATGTTCCCAATCAAAATGCCTGAATTTGAAACAGCTTCCTCCAGGTTTTTGCTAATAAAGACCCTGGGAGGCACTAGTCATGGTCCAAGTCACTGAATCTCCATCATCCATGAGATGACGTGAGAGAACTGACTTTAGTTCCTTGCTCCTGGCTTTGGTCCTAGACCAGCCCTTGCCACTTTGGGCATTTGCAAAGTAAATCAAATTGATACTAGCGCTCTATCTCTGCCTCTCAAGTCAAAAGATTCTAAAAAATTAACAACCATTGATCACGCTTTCCCAGTATCTGCTCTTTATGTGAGAGAGAAAACTTAAGAGTCATCTATACATGACTTAGCCGTCTTATATCCGGCCCATTGCAACATAACTTTCCTTCTGCTGTGATGGAACATCATCTCTCGTAGTCCCATGTTACCAAATCCAGGAAGTTTCCTCTGCTTATCATTCTTGAATTCCACACAGCACCTGACACCACTGGCTGCACCCGAGTTAGTGAAATATCTTTGCTTGCTTTTGGGGGGGGACATTCCCTCCTGATTTATCTGTTCTTCTTCCTTCCCTACATCACCCAAGTCCTCTGTGTTGCTCAATCTTAAATGTGGCAAGCATTCTAGATTGCTCACATCTCATTCATTCAGGGATTTCCCATCAGTTTTACCCTCATTGGTGTGGCCTTAAACCACTTGCTCTTCTAAGTCTCTACTTCTGCCTCCCTAAGACTTTACCACCTTTACTTCTGAATTGTTATCATAGCTTTCCAACTGGTCTCATTTCTTATGATGCCTTTAGAACCCATTTGGACACAAAAGCCAAAGTGACATTGTGTAAACCTCAATTGTATCACTTAAATCATTTGAATGTTTCATTATGCTAAGAATACAATCTGAATTATTTGTTCTGAATATGTACCCTGTATGCAAGGATACTTCACAAATTACTTAAACAGGCAGACACTGTAACACTGTTACTGTAACTGGTACAGCAGTTACTTGGCTACCATGCTTCCCACATCCTGTATTAACAGTACCTGGGTTTGAGTCCTGGCTCTACTTCTGATCCAATTTCTACTAATGCATGCTCTAGCAAGAATGGAATTCCTGGCTCTTGGCTCTGGTCTGGCCCATCCCCAATTGTTCCAAGCATTTGGAGAGTGAGTCAGCTGATGGGAGCCAGAAACAGAAGCTTCACTCAACAAAGGCCTGAGCAGCTGGGGCTGGGCCAAAGCAGAGGCAGAATCTAGGCTCCCATGTAGGTGACAGGAACACAGCTACCTAAGCCATCACCTCTATTTCCTGTGGTTGCAACAGCTAGAAGCCAAGTGAGGAGCTGGGGACCTGGCATTCCACTGTCAGATGTGGGTGACTTAACCACCAGGCCAAACATCTGATCCTTCCATGAGTTTGTGGGGTTATGCTTGTATAATTACAATTATTTTTTCTATTTTCATAACATTTTCTGAAATATGTAATGAATGTTTATTACTAAAAATGAAAATCATTTTTCCTTTCTGACTCTACCTCCTAAGAGATAAGAGCTTATTATGTGTTTGTTCTCCCAGACTTAAGCAGACGTGTAGACATACTGGGTTTTTAATGAAAAGGTAAAGTAATATGTGTTGGCTCCTAAAATATTTATTCAGTTCAACCATATATTGTGAACAGTTTTCCCAAGTTAAAACATATGATCTACATATTTTAAGCTGGTTTTCTCTTGATAGACATTTAAGTAATTGGGATAGTTTACCTTTAAAAGCATAGTAGAACGAATATTTAAAGTAACTTATTGGAATTTTTATGTCCTAACCTTTTAATTTGAAGGATATTCAGAGGTGCCACTTTACATGGCTTTAAATCTGTGACATGCTAATGTCATAACCATATGCTTCTACTTTATACTTTTTAAGATTTATTTGAAAATCAGAGTTGCAGAGAGAGAAGGAGAGACAAAGATGAAAATCTTTCATCTGCTAATTCACTCCCCATGTGGCCACAGCATCCCAGAGCTGGGCCTCCTGCCAGAAGATCAGGGGCTTCATGTGGGTCTCCTACATGGGTGCAGAGGCACAAGCACTTGGGCTACCTTCTGCTTTCCCTGGCTCATTGGCAGGGAGCTGGATTGAAAGTGGAGCAGCTGGGACTTGAACCTGTGCCCATAGGGGATGCTGACATTGCAGGTGGCATCCATGGCACATGGATGGCCCCTCATTTTATAGTCTCGGATCTATATTGGATTTGCTTTTATCTACTGCTTTGATGATATAAAGAATAATACTTTTCAATTCAAATAACTGTTTATACAGAAATGTTTATAGCAGTAATATTCACTGCAGCCAGAAGATAAAAGCAACCAGAATGTCTTATCAACAAATAAATGGCTAAACAAAATGTGGTATATACACACACAGTGGAATACTACCTAGTTATAAAAGTGAACAAATTGCTAATAAAAGCTTTATTGTAGATCAACCTCAAAAATGTTGTGCTTGGATGAATGAAACCACTTACAAAAGGTCACATATTGCAATGATTCTATTGAAATGAAACATCCAGAATACATTAACTGGTAGAGGCAGAAAGTATGTTGGTATTTGCCAAGGGCTGCAAGGATTGAGGGATGATTAGTGACTGCTTAATGGATATGGGATTTGCTCAGGAGTGATGAAAATATTTTGGAATTAGATTGTACAACATTGTGATTGTACTGGAAGCCACTGAACTGTACGCTTTAAAATGGTTAATTTTATGTTGTGACTTACCTCATTGAAAAGAAAATAACATCCATGTGCACCAAAATGATGATATTTTCTTAAAAATTCATCTGGGGCTGGGGGCAGGCAGCTAGCAGTTATAGCCCTAGTAAAGATGCATGTTGGCAGTACCTAGGTTTGATACCCCATTCTAACTGATTCCAACTTCCTGCTAAAACAGACCATGATAATTAAATTTCTGCCACCCATGAGGAAAACCTGAACTGGGTTCTGGCTCCTGGCTGTCCCCTGGGAAGGGACCATTGTCAACACTCATGGAGTGAGCCAGCAGTTCAAAACTCTGTCTGCTTCTCATTCTATCTCTGCCTCTCAACTAAATAAACCAAAAAAGAAAAAAAAAATGTGTGTGTTTTTACTCCTGTTCAGTTATGATTGACTTTTGAATGTATTACTCATGTTAGTAGTTTTACATTACTTGCCATGTAGTTATAATGTAGTTAGATACTCTTTAAAATTTAGATTTTTAGGTGGAATTATATTTTAAGTATTTTTAAAAGATTTATTTATTTATTTGAAAGGCAGAACAACAAAGAGGGAAAGACAAAGCTGAATCTTCTGTCTGATGGTTGGCTACGACAGCTAGGGCTGGGGTAGGCTGAGGGTAGAGCCAGGAACTCCTTCTGGGTCTCCCCTATGGATGCCAGGGACCCAAGGATGTAGGTCATCTTCCACTGCCTCCCAAGGCACATTAGCAGGGGTCTTGATCAGAAGTAGTACAGCTAAACTTAAATTGGCATCACAAGTGGCCAGTTAACACGCTTTGCTATAGCCTCTTAACTAATTAGTGATTTGATTAGAAAACCAAATAGTGGATAATGTCTCAGTAATTTGTCCATGATTTGTCTTAACTTAGTTCTCCCTTTTCCCCCAAATGATTCATTTTAATGAGTAGACCTGACTTCTTAACCTCTGTTATTCAGGAAAAAAATCTATGTGAGTACTCTGCCAGCTACCATTTTAGATTCTTGCAGTAAGAAGGAGGAACAAAGATAAGCATCTGTTCTCTGGGTTTTGGTATTCCAGCAGAGGAGAGAGACAGAGAGAGAGAAACACACAAATGAGTTTATAAATAATGACAGAATGATAATGCTGTAGAGACATATGGCCAAGAGTGATGACTTGGAAGCCTGGGTTGATTTGATGTAAACCCAAGCAGAGCACAGGAAGCCCGGGAAGGATCTGACAGTATGGGAGTTGGGAAGGAAAGGTGAACACTTTGCCCCTTCCCACCCCCACCTGCAAACCCAGGAAGGCTCCCATTTCTTTCAGTGGACTGTGTTGGAGGTTTCCTAACTGGTTACCCTGCTTAGCTGATTCAGTCTGCCAGGCAAGAACCAGAACCGCTGAGTGAGAAGACAGGAAATAGAAACAAAGGGAAGCATTTAAAAATTTAAAGACTGTTTCTAGCTGTTTCTTCCGTTTCCCTTCCTGGCCAAGCTCATGGATCAGCTAATGGGAGATTAGTATTAAAGGGGAATGGAAATGCATAACCTCTCTCTCCCTTGGGTAAATAAATACCTTCTCTCCCTCTCTCTCTCTCTCTCTCTCTCTCTCTCTCTTTCACACACACACACACACACACACACACACACACACACACACACACTGAACATCTTTCACATATTCAAATAGGGGCAGAGAATAAAGCAAGAATCTGTTTTCATTTTGGGAGGAAAACACTACTTTCATGATAGGCATTGTGGTGCAGGTGGGTAAGCAGTTTGATGGGATCCCCACATCCTATATCAGAGTTCCTGGGTTAGAATCTTACCTGCATTTCCAGTCTAACTTCCTGCTTCTGCGTGTCCTGGGCCCAAGTACTTGGGTTCCTGTTAGCCGAGCAGGAGACCAGAATTGAGTTCCTGGCCTTTTCCTTTGGGCTGGCCCAGCCTTGGCTGTTAGTATCCATTTGGAGAGAGAACCAGCAAATGAAAACTCAATCACTTTCTCTCTCTTTCCCCCTTTTTCTCTTTGTCTACCTTTTTCAACTCCCCCTCTCTCTCCCTGCCCGTCTGCCTCTCTTGCTCCCTCTCCTCCTGCCTACCACTCTGCCTTTCAAATAAACAAATCTTTTCAAAAATGCTACTTTCTAATTCCTTTATGCCATAGTTTTTCTGAAACAGTCTTTGAAAATTATCGTCACTTCATCAAAACAGTGCAGTTTGTATGTTAGACTGTGTCATATTTCTCCTGTAGTCCTTTGGTAGCAGTAGTGTCCGCTGATGCAAAAAAGATAACCATATTTCATTGTTTCTGTTTAATGTGCTTTCCTTTTTCTTCCTTTGTATCAGAACTGACTGCCTTGAAGGTTATTACTGGTTTGTGTTTAATCTGAAAATAGAAGCAGTTTATCTTTGTAACAGGAAAGAGAAAGGCACCTTGATTTTAATCCTTCCTGCAAAAGAGAAAGCTAGTGCCCACTTGGGACTGAGCAGTATATTACAATGCTTCACATGACCTAATTACAGTTCTGTGCTGAATCAGAGTGAATATATCACCTGTTCATGAAGGCAAGATTTTTTGTCCTTCAAGAACTATATTTCTTCTGTTGTTACCTATTTAAATTTAAAACTGCATGCATTTTTTAAAATTTAATCTATGCAGAGTGCATTATAGTATCTCTTGTTAATATATCTGAAAGCAAATCTTTTCACTATATAATATCAAAATTGTAAGGAAAATTATTTCCCTATTAGTTACCCACACTTTCAGTTTCTAGATGACACTAATTTGTGAGTCATGATTAAACCCACTATCTTCTCTCTACCTATGTGGTTCATCACAGATGAGGGGGAATTATAGCTAATTTGAAAAAAAATGGAGAACTAAGAGCAGGAGACATGCGGATGCGACAGGTAGGAGTGTCATGAAATATGTCGTTGCAGAGGCAGGGAGAGGTAGCTGAAATCCCAAGTCAGGACTTGGAGCGGACTTTCTAGAAGTAATGTTATATACACACAGTGTGTAGCCTTCATACTGGAATGAACATGCAGGTTTAATCACTGAAGTAAGACAGGTTTTTCATAAAATAGATTAAAAGCAAACTGTACATGATATGGTTTGAAACTTTTTCTGAGAGAATTTCTGAAAATTCCTACATCTGAAATGCCAGATCAAAAATTATTATTTTAAAGCTTCATGTTAAAAGATGCTTAGTTATTAAATGATAGACTGGTTCTAAATTTAACTGTATATCTGAGGAACAGATCATTGAAATTCACCAACATTGAGTATGCTGTCTTTCCTTCTTTTTTAACTTTGACCAGTTTACTAGGTAGAATTTGTATCTTTGGGTTAAATTTTTATTTAAGATTTCTAACCTACTGATTATCATACTACTACTGACTGCGCTAAAGGTAAGATATGTTTCTGTCTTGGTAGGTTTTTATGTGGTCAACAGTGTTTCATCTTTACGAACATACTCACTGTTTTTCAATGCATCCCTAGCAGAAAATGCCTGAAGATCAGGGAGTTAATCTGGTCAGAATATCCAACTGGTCACTGCTAAATAGAACTAGTCATAAATAGAACTTGTTTCGTGAGAATTGGTAAAATTGTTACTAGGAATAATGCCAGTATCTGAGTATGAACTCTCTCTAAATCATTCATAATGGCTGAGATTACTTTTTAACTGCCCGGACTGCTCACCCCAGTGTTTCCCCGGGCAGGAGTTGGGAACTTTTAAGCTAGAACCTTTGATTCTACACTTTTCACAGAAAGCTGGTTACTTCCTGCTTAAAAGAGCAAAATATAATATTAAAATGATTTGAACGCACATTTCGTTTCCTAACTATGTACAGTATTATCATTGTATCTACAACTGTCTGGCTTTATTTTACCCTGCTAAGCTACTGGGATGAAAAAATAATGGAAGTAATTTTAATGTGAATGTATATTTCAAGCTAATCTTTCTTTTAGCTAAAAAGCCAATATTGGAATTATAGCAAGAAATGCATTAAAAAGTTAAAAACAAATAGAAAAAAAACCATGTTAAAAGTTTGAAAAGTTGACACATTACAATACATACCAACTTGGAACAAAAACAACAACAAAAAAGAGCAAAATATAGATCTATAGATGTGTGTGTATATAAATATATATAAAATTAAAGGTAAAATAACAAAGAATAAAATATAAGAAAACAAGTTGCCTGGCAGTGTGTACAATTCTTTGCCATAAATGTATGAGTCTATGAATAAAATCCATGATAGTGATTGTCACAGGACTGGTGAGGACAAGTAAGGAAATGCCATGAGGACAACATGTCACATGTTATTTTAGCTTTGAAAGGTTTTGATTCTTTTCTTCCAAAAAGGACTTGAAACAAGAAGCCTGATTCTGAATGGCAAGACAGCTCTGATTTTTAGTCTTGTGCTTTTTATTAGAAGTTAAATAAATGAAGGGCACCAAAGGAATTCAGGGAAAAAAAAAAAACAAAACAAACAAACAAAAAGCCTGAGATGATGCACAGCTTTTAGAAAGCAAACCAAGGGGCAGTGAGGAACGCAGCCTTGAGTAAGTCCTGGGGGGCACTGCCTGGTCACTGCCCTCCAGATTCCCTGCCAGGTGTCATGGGAACCCCACCAGCAGGCTGATTAGAGTTGGGTTGGAACGCATGTAGCTGCTTTGATGACTCAGTGACTCAAATTCTTATCTAAACGTGCACGTATTTCGCACATGATTGTATTGCGTAAAGAACAGAAGTGCATGAGAACGTGAGTAACGATCACTGCTTAGTAACAGCATTGTAGGTACCGGGAGGGGTTGGGGGATTCCCAGAGCCTATGGAACTGTGTCACATAATGCAATGTAATTAATAACAAATATATATATATATATATATATATTTAAAAAGTAACAGCAGTACAGATTTTTCTTTCTGTTGCTCTTTTGGTGTGATCCAACCTTACAAATTGTGAGCTCCGTCAGTCTTGCCACGATAGGATGGCAGTAAGACGTGTGAGCCAGCGCGTGCTTTCCAGGTCCGAGGGGGTTTGTGGAAGGGTAGTTTGCAGTGGACTTCTGAAGTTCAGCAACTAAATGGAAACTAGAAGACTGAGTCAAGGTAATCATGCATATTTGCTTCTGGGTATCTTGATATTTATTAAGAGCACCGTAGTTAATCTGACTTTAATTTTTTATTCTTTTTGAAGCCATATGAAGGATTAAGACCTCAGGATCTCCGCAGACTGAAAGACATGCTTATTGTGGAAACTGCAGACATGCTCCAGGCACCTCTGTTTACTGCTGAAGCTTTACTTCGCGCTCATGGTAATAATAAAAGTTAAACACAAAAAAGCAAAAACATCTCCTACGTTTCTAATACCATGGCTGCCTTTTGAAATTTTCAAGTTAAAAGATGGCTATATTCGGGGCCAGGTGTGGTGTAGCAGGTGAAGTCACCACCTCTGATACCAGCATCCCACGTGGGTGCCATGGTCCTAGGTGCCCCATGTCTGAACACCTGGGAAAGCAGCACAGGTGACTGCAGTGCTGGCGCCCCTGCCCGCCCCGTGGAAAACCGGAAAGAACTGCAGGAGCGTCTTCCTGTCTGCAGACTGGTTCAGCTCTGGCAATTACAGCCCTTTGGGAAGTGATCCAGAGCATGGAAGATCTCTCTAACTATGCCTTCCAAACACATAAATAAATTAATACTTTAAAAAAATAGGTAACGCTTGTCCTTTTAAAAGAAAATGATGGCTTTTCCCCTATTTTAAACAAGCCTAAGATTTCCTAGTGCTGTTGTTTTTAAAGTGTTTTCCAAGGTGCGTTAGCAGGGAGCTGGATTGGAAATAGAGCAACGGGACTCATACCAGTGCACTTAATGGGGTCCCTGATGGTGTGGCAGTCAGTTACTTAACCTGCCACAGCTCCTGCCCAGTTCTCTGATTAAGATAACCATTCTGGAAGTTGTCACATGTTGAGTTGGACCCCTCTGGTTGCCCATTTGGTATGTGATATTTAATATGGTTTCAAAGAATCATATTTCCCAACTGTGAAAGTTTTTGTTAAAAAAGCAGTGGCTTTTCCTCCCTAGTCACTTCAAGGCTTTGCTTTTCTATCTTCACAGTAAATCTGTCATCTAATTTTAAATACCAATATCTAAAAATCTTATGTCGTCTTTTGATCCGAGGGAAATGTGAACCTGTGTTTCCCCTCACCCTTGATTACTCCCACCGTTGCTGTGTTGGTAAATACCCCTGAGCAGCTGCCTTCAGTCGTGATGTCCTCCACTCTTCCTTTTCCCACCCTGAATACCTGTGCGTCTTCCATTTTAGTGGGAATTAAGAATAACGTAAAAATGAAGTGCAGGTTCCTAAGATCAGCTGCAGACTCTTAATTTCTCAAGTATGAGATGAGGCGTAAGAATATGTTGTAAACAAACCTCATAAGTGGATTAGCCTCTGAAAATTATTGTTCCATACATTTCTACAATACTTAAAACCATGTGTATTGTAAATTCTATTATAAAATTATGTTTCTCTACTTCTGTCTTTATAAACCTTGAAGTAAATCATACTGAAAAATTATAGATCTGGTTAAAAAAAAACATTTAGAAAAGCAGAACAGTTTTTGAAAGTCATATTTAAATAATAGATATATTCTTTTAAGTAATGATGCTTAACCACAGTTTAAAAGTATATATTAATTGAAAATTCCAGAAGCCAACAATTTATAAGTTTTAAGTTGCGGCATGTTCTGAGTAATGTGAAGAATTCACACAGTCCCAACAGCTTAACACAGTGTGTGGCCCAGTGTCCACCCCTAAATGCTCTTCGCCATCTCTCAGGATGCTCATTGTCAGAGTGCTCCTGGCTGGGATACTGCTTTCCGGAATTCCCAGTTGCCTTCCATTGCATGTCTATCAGGTGTCAGTAACACTCGACCAGTTGCTTAGTGCCTGGGTCCGATACCCATCCCCAGCTATGGCTTCACCTGCGTATTAATGCACACTTGGGGAGGGGGATGGTACTGATGACTCACGTGATTGAGTTGCAACTACCTGACTGGAGACTTGAATAGGGCTCCTCCAGCCCTCTGCTTCAGCCCTTAGCTGGCCTGGCTGTGGCAAGCATTTTGGCGGTGAACCAGCTAATGGCAACACTTTTCCTCCGTGTCTCTCCGCTCTTGATTTTGAAAAGCTATAAAATGTTCAGAGTAGGAAGCTAATCTTTTTCAGTAAAATCAAGTTTGAAGTCACTTTACACAGAATTTGTACCCAATTCACTAAACCTGTTGTAACCCTAATCCTTTTGGATGTCCCTTCCACTTTCCTTCAATCTGTCAAGAAATTTTTAGGACCTGATGTTATGTTTTGACATGCTTGTAGTGAACAGTTTTACAGCCTGACAACAGTGAGGACAATTTCAAAAACATATTTTTTGAAGGAATAAAGAGGGTAAATTTAAACCTACACTAATAAAAATTTAGTTTTAAAAGTGATGTATGAGGCATGTCTGTATATATTAATAAAATTAACTGGAGTTTGGACCATGTTTGTAGAAACTGATGTGACTGATAGCTCCAGTAGGTTATAAGAGAGCTTACATCTTGCTTTAGAAGCATTCTCAGACATAGCTTAGGTACTCATTTGCAGTTACTCCTGTATAAACACTTGTTTTTCTTGGATGACCTGTATTTCATTTGTCCTCACATTTTCTTTTGTTAAGATGATATTTAAAATATTACAATGCCTGATGGCTTTTTTTGATAGATATCTGTTTTGTTTTTCCTGTAGACTGGGACAGGGAAAAGTTACTTGAAGCTTGGATGTCCAACCCAGAGAACTGCTGCCAACGATCAGGTGTGCAGATGCCAACTCCACCGCCCAGCGGGTACAATGCTTGGGACACACTCCCTTCTCCGAGAACTCCCAGGACCACACGTTCGTCTGTCACCTCCCCTGATGAGCTCAGTCTGTCTCCTGGGGATTTAGACACCAGTTTGGTATGGTTTGGTTTTTAGTGCCCTTCCCTTTGCTTTGTTGTTAGTTTTTTTAAATATTCAATATTATCCCACAGAGTGTCATTTTTGTAACTGATTATTTAAATGTTCAATTACTTTCATGTTCTAATGGTTATCATCAGAGAAAAAAGATTTTTCTTTCTCATTTCAAAAGTGGAAACAAAGTTTGGGAAAGTCATCTACTTTTTTTAATTTAAAACTCCAGGTGCTTAAAGCTTTAAGCGTGGTTTACTGCAATATTAAAGGTTGATTTTGTGATAGGCACCTCAAAGAAGAAAAATAAAAGCATGTTTATAATTTTCTGAAAGCTATTAATTTTGAAGCATTTGTAGTATACTGATTCTGTATTTGTTTGAAGAAAGCCTGTAGAGTTTGTCTTCTACATTCCTTTCCAGAGTATTTTGTTTTTATTAAGAAACTGTACTGTGATTGTCTGCATTTTTAAATTATCATACCATCAGTGTGCTGTTTTAGCAAATGTTAATTTTGTTAAATGATTTTGCCACTTAAAATATGTGATAAGAATGGAAGTCATCTTCATTTCACCTAGACCATTTTGGAAAACAAATCCTAGTTGTGTAATTTGCATATGAAACATAAAGATTGCTTGCAGGAAGTCTGTTAGAAGATGCTTGGTTTTCTGGCAGGGTTTCCTGGATAGAAAGCCTTAAGCTGCTACTCTGAATATCCTGAGTTACTGTCTTAAAAACAAAAGTTACTCTGTTTTTACAGATTTCCCAAGGTAAGTATAGGGAAAAGGACATGATACTGAAGTGTTTAATTTGCAGCATGTGGTTTGATCTTTTGCCTTGCATAAATTGTAATGATCTCAGAATGCACCATTGCTGAGTAATATATACATTTGGAACTTAAGAGTTTGACTTTTGCGATAAAACATTGAAATGCGCAGTAGTTGATAATGAGGTAGACATAGCATTTGTTATTCAAGAGTATCTATACTAATTTTAACTCCCCTCAACTTGGAGCTGCTTAACTTCTAAAATTTTACTTACTATACTAATCTTTTTGCTTTAAACTAATGAACAAAATGAATGCATTGTTCTTTGCCCTGCAATATGAGACTGTTTAAATTATTGTTCTTCTTCATCTCCAGTGTGACATTTGCATGTGCAGTATTTCTGTGTTTGAAGACCCAGTGGATATGCCCTGTGGACATGACTTTTGTAGAGGATGTTGGGAGTCGTGAGTATATAAGCAGCTTAGCATCTTTTATTGCATGGTAGCAGTTTGATCTGATACTGGAAAGTGCTTGCTTTCAGTATAAAGGTGTGGACTATTTATGTTTCAGAATTACTCTGAAATGTGTTTTACTACTGAGGAAGAGTCTGACATCTTCCCTGCTATATTAATTAAGGCTGTTTAGTGTAATGTAAGGCACTTCTAGAAACAAATCAGTTATATAGCAAACAATTTCTTGTTTTATTTTATATTGCATCTAATATAAATTTCCCACCTACCCCTATATATCAAGAATTAGTTTCTATATTACATCCCAAAATTTGTGTTTTGTTTTGTGCTTTCTCTGAATATTTTATTACAAGCAATAAGCCTTGAAAATCTATAAGAATGTGGATATTTAAAGTTCGTTTTTAGTCAATGCAGAGTTAAATGTCTGCTAGATGTGATTGGAAGTGGCAAATTCTCTTTACCTTGTCAAAATGTACATTTTCTCATTGTCTATTGATTTTGCCCTCCTGTCACACTTTTTGAGGGAGATTTTTAAACAGTGAAGGTCAGTATCAGTGGGAGAGCATATTCTCTCTGGACACACAGTGTTACAGTATGACAGCCTTCATGAAGCGTGTTAATTACGCTAAGGAAATCTGAAAACTCAGAAGTTGTCAAACTTATAATTTATAATTCAACCATATACACACACTCATGAAATCATCACTGCAATCAAGATGATTATATCAGTCAGCTCCAGAAATTTCCTCATTCCCTTTGAATCCCTCCTACCCACTTACCCTGCTACACGCACCTCACCCCCTTTGCCTAGTCGGCCTACTGATCTGTCATTCCGCTTTCATTTTGAATGTATTTTCTTTCTTTCTTTTGTCTTAATTTGCGTATGACATAAGATTCTACTAGAAGGGAGAAAAACTTGGATTTTAAAAAGATTAAAGGAAACAGTGACATATCAGGTTAATCCACCACTTATAGTTCCAGCATCCTATATGGGCTCCATTTCTAGTCCTGGCTACTCCACTTTCAGTCCAGCTCCCTGCTGGTGGCTTTGCAAAGCAGTGGAGCATGTCTCAAGGTTTTGGGTCCCTACACCCACATGGGAGAGCAAGAAGAAGCTTCTGACTTCCAGCTCTTGCCATGGCAGCCATTTAGGGAGTGAATCACTGGATGAAAGATCGATCTCTCTCTTTCCTCTCTCTTTATCTATAACTCTTATTTCTAAGCAATAAATAAAATGAAAATAAATATCTTAAAAAATAATTTTTTAAAAAAAAAGAGTAACAGGTCATCCCTTTTAAACTCTACCCTGAGACTATTTGGGCTGCAGTCCCTGCCTCTGACACAGGCAAACCCATGGGCAAGGTTCAGCACTCACAGTCCAGGGCCTTGCTGGACTCAAGGTCTTCCCACGTACAGTGCTTGATTTAGCGTAGAACAGTTGGCTGTCCTGAATTAGGACCTGTCACCTGCGTTCTACTAGGTTTGCAGCTGTTGACCTTAGTTTTTGAATGAAAACTGTACCCTCCAGAGATTTACTTGAAAATTTTTTAACTTCTTTGACTTTTTCTCACCTAATTTAATATCACAGGAACCATCTCCCCTACTCTTCATAGAATAGCCATGAGAAATGTATAGTAAGGTTTAAACTTGCAAGATGTAATGACAATTTCCCTGGTGGCTTAGCAGCCAGTGTACATGGGAATCTGCCTCCCTGCTTGGCCTTTTCTTATCAAACCAAGCACTAGTCACAACTCACATGTTACATGATTCCTATGTTGATAAAATCACTTTTAACTGATTGCCATCTTTTTGTAGAAAAGAAATGCTTTTGAACAGTCTTGGATCACTTGAAAGCTCTTGTTTCTGGTATTCTTCCCGACTCCTTTGAGCAGCCCAGCTCGATGCTCTGAAGTACCTGGCCCAGAGCTTGAGTCCTCCAGCATTGTTACTTCGTTCCCAGACCACTATAGCCTTATGACACTGAGGATAAGAGTTCAGGTTCTGCAACTTATCCAGACTTTTGTTTCCTAATCTATCAAATGGTGATAAGTACTCCACAGGATTATTGTCAATTTGTTTAATACAGGAAAAAATGCTTTGAACTGAACCAGGCGCATAGTAAAATCACTCAGAAACTATTATTTGTTGTCATCTTCCCAAGTGAGCACTGTAATAAGTAAGAAAAGTATGTGACATAGCTATAGGATAGAAATGCAGGGAAAGTTGTTCCATATTTGTTTATTTTACTGATTTTCCAACTGTTCTGCTCTTAGAATTTAGTGGAAAATTGTGCCTTGACAAGAATTACAAAAAGGCTAGCAAAGAAATGATTTGTCTCAGTTCTGTCATGTAATCCCCTATAGATCATGAAATCTACTCTGGTGTGTTCAGAATCCAGAAGCTTTGGGGCGAGCACCATACGTGGTGCATTAAGCCACACATGAAGATACCGCGATGCCATGCGGACACTTGTTTCAGTCCTTACTGCTTCACTTCCAGTCCAGCTCCCTGATAAAGACTTGGAAAAAGCAGGAAACAATGGACCAAGTATTTGGGCCCCTGCGACCCATGTGAGAAACCTAAAAGAAATTTGTGGCTCCTGGTTTCAAATTGGCCCAGCTCCAGCAGTTGTGGCCATTTGGGAAGCAAAACAGCAGATGGAAAGTCTCTCTCTCTCTCTCTCTCTCTCTGTCTTTCTTTCTTTCTCATTTTCTCCCTTTCTTGCTATGTATACATATATGTATATATCCCTCTCTATATATAACTCTTTTTTAAGAATTTATTTATTTTTATTGGAAAGGCAGATTTACAGAGAAGCAGAGAGAGAATGAGAGAGACTGGAGATGGAAACCCAGTGAACTATTAAAATATAAGGGATCAGGAGTAAAAAGGGCAAGACTTTTTTTTTTAAATGCCAAGAAAAAGATTAATTTCCTGAACCTGGAGGGAAGGGGTGAAGAGGCCTAGGAAGGCTGCCTGGAGGCACTGCGGGTTCATGTTCATGGAAGTGCCAGGATTGAGGGTGTGGCGGGAGGAGAGATGTAGAGAAAAGGAGGGGATCTAAGGTCTAAGTGAGGCTTTTTGACTTTGTTTAAGTGCAGTAGGATTAAGAAACTGAGAGAACTAAAGGGAAAGGATGCTGTCCTTAGTGGAAAAAGCTGTTGATGGTGATGACTCTAGAGTTGTGACTTCCTTGTCCAGTTTCCCCTTTATTTTTTCCAGGATTTAGTGTTAAATCCAGTATAATCTTGGTTTTTCCAAAGGCAGTATTAAATAACATTAACAGTAATAATTCTCACTGTAATTGATGAGTTTTTCCTATGTGCCAGGCACTGTGCAGATATTTCACATGCGTTGCCTAGATCTGTAGAGCAACCCTGTGAGGTATATACTATTTTCTCATTTCACATGTGAGAAAAATAAGGCTGAGAATAAATAAGCTGCTTGAGATCATATAGTTTGTAGCAGATCTGGGATTTTTCTCACTCGTAGTCCTGCTCTCAACCCCTTTGTTCATCTCAGCTCTGTTCCCATTGCATGACCGTGCGTTTTTTTTTCTTATTGTTGTAACAGGTGGTGCTAGAGTAGGACATATCACTGAATTTTTATATTTATTGAAATGAAACACAAAGAGAAAAATGTGAAAATAGTTGTGCCGTACCCCGTGCTGCTCCCAAATATCTTGAATTCTTTATGCCAATTTCTGTAATTCCCCGTTTAACACTGAGAATTGAATATGACCTGTCTACTTCATTCATATCTAAATGTTTACTGTCATATAAAAACATTATTTCAGATTTTTAAGAAAGTAAAGCACAACTGAAATATGTAAACATTGATAAAACATAGAAATATGAGTAATATATCTCATCTCTATATAAAAAAATCAGTGGCTGGGTAAGTAACTAGGACTGCATCCATCCTTGACACTTTATTGATGCTTTTCAAATGACACACGTAACAAAAGTAAGCATGAAAAAAAGTTTTTGGTATGTTCAAGTAACTTGTGTTTGCCCTTCTTTTGTCAACTGATGATGCTGATAGGTTTTTGAATCTAAAAATTCAAGAGGGTGAGGCTCACAACATTTTCTGCCCTGCCTACGATTGCTTCCAGCTTGTGCCTGTGGACATCATCGAGAGCGTGGTTTCTAAGGAGATGGACAAGCGGTACCTGCAGTTTGATATTAAGGTGTGTTGCCAGTCACCTGTCTGGTCTCTACAATTTTAATTGTGTTAGACATGTATAAATATTTTTGTCAATTTTGTTTTAAATAAAACAATGCAGTCCAGGATTCAGTTCTCAAAAAAAAAACTGCAGAAAGGAGTGATGACATTAAAGTTTTAAGCTGAGGCAATAGTTTATAAGAAAAGGAAAACTGGACCTGGCATGATAGTGTAGTGGTTAAAGTCCTTGACTTGAACCCACCAGGATCCCATATGGGCGCCAGTTCTAATCCCGGTGGCCCTGCTTCCTATCCAGCTCCCTGCCTGTGGCCTGGGAATGCAGTCGAGGACGGCCCAAAGCCTTGGGACCCTGCACCCACGTGGGAGATCTGGAAGAAGCTCCTGGCTTCTGGCTTTGGATTGGCTCAGCTCCAGCCATTGTGGCCACTTGGGGAGTGAAGCATCGGACAGAAGTTCTTCCCCTCTGTCTCTCCTCCTCTCTGTATATCCGCCTTTCCAGTAAAAATAAATAAATCTTAAAAAGAGAGAGAGAGAGAAAAGGAAAACTGAAAAGATAGTTAAAAAGTTAAATTATTGCTCAGAACTATGTACTGCTTTGCCTATTATACCTTCTGATTGATTGATTAATATTAAAAGTAGTACTTGCTTTAGATTTCCCAAAGACATTATATTATACTCCTTAATGTTTAGAAATAAGACTTCTGAATTTAGAAATGATATTTTTGTATTCCAAGTAATGATTTCATAACTCAATTAGAATGTTTATTTCATCTTTTCTGTATATTAATTATGAAGTTTTATACATGAGGTTTTATTTTATCTACCTTGTGTAAAATTTCCCTTGTTTATGGACTTTTAAGAATGGGTCCTGCTTCTTTAACATAGAGCACCCTAATGGAGGTGGGAGCTGCAGCGGAAGGGTAAAGCCCCTGCTTGGAACACCCACATGCCCGTGATGCATTGAGTCCTGTCTCTGCTTCCTTGTCCAGCTTCCTGCTGATGTGCTTGGGAGGCAGCAGGTGGCGACCCTAGGACTTGCGTCATACCCCACACACAGGAAGCTCAGGTGGAGATCATGGCTGCTGGCTTCAGCTAAGCCCAGGCTGTTGCAGGCACCTGGGGAGTAAACCAGCACATGAGAGCTCTTTCTCTGTCACTCTGCCATTCAAATAAAGTACATTTTAAAACTCTCTAACACACAAAAAAAGGAAGCTCTGTAGCATTCATTTTTTTAAATACAAATCCTGGTGTTTGCCAGTGGTGTATTCATTTTTTCTTGCAGTTTTAAGATTTAAAAAAAAGAATTACTGGAAAGTTGGGGAGACAGAGAGGAAGATCTTCCACCTGCTGATTCACTCTCCAAGCGGCCACAACGGTCAGAGCAGAGCGAATCTGAAGCCAAGAATCAGGAACCTCTTCCAGGTTTCCCACGTGGGTGCAGGTTCCCAATGCTGGGCCATCCTCTGCTTTCCCAGCCACAAGCAGGGTGTTGGATGGGAAGTAGGTCCCCTGGGACATAAACTGATGCCCATATGGGATCCCAGTGCATGCAAAGTTAAGAATTTTAGCCACAGGGCCCTGTATTACTCATTTTTATGGATTATTAGCATTCCCTTTAGAAACTTACTTTAATACAACTACTAATTACATATAAGAATCTACTTGTATTTCAACAAAAAAGTGTCACATTATATGATAAAATATTTATAAATTAAGTATTTTTAGGTAGAGACCAGTACCATGGACTTGTAGGTTAAGTTTCTGTGGGCAGCATGACATCCCATACAGGTGCAGCTCCACTTCTAATCCAGCTCCCTGCTAATGGCCTTGGAAAGTAACAGAGGATGACTCGATCTGTGGGACCCTGAACCCACGCAGGAGAATCAGGAGAAAGGCTCCTGGGTTTGCACTGGCCCAGCTGTGGCCATTGGCAGCCATTTGGGGAGTGAATAGCAGGTGAGAGATAGATCTCTTTCTTTGTAACTGTTCCTTTAAAAAAAAATGAAGTATTTTGAGTTGATTGCATCTCACTTGATCATCATTTGCCGCTTTGTAGATTAGAAAAAATATACAAAATTCTATCAGAGCCGTTTAGCTTAGTGATTAAGATGCCCACATTCCCCACCCAAGGTCTTGAGTCGCCTTTGGCTCCTGACTGCAGCTTCCTGCCAGCACAGCCCCTAAGAGGCAGTGCTCATGGTTCCTGCCTGTGTGAAAGACCCGAGTTGAGTTCCAGTCAGTTTGGGCATTTGGGGAGTAAGCCAGCAGACGGGGAACACTTTCTGCTGTGTCTCTCTCTACTTTTTCCCATACCCCCTCTCTTCCCGTACGCCCTCTCTCTTCCAGTGCCCCCTCTTTCCCCCGTCTGTCTCTGCTCTGTTCTCTCACTTTGCTCTTCTGTTTTGTCCTCTCTTTGCCTCTGTCTCCCAGATAATTGAATACTAAAATAAATAAAAGACTTATTGTTACTACTTACGTTTTTCTGTACTCTCCATTATCGTAATATTTTTGACAACTTGTTTTATTTCACTTTTTTTTGCATTGAGGTAAGTTAAACCATATACCTTGTTTAAATTCAGATTTTAAATTTTTCTGTACTTTTTATTGCTATTTAAACAGGCTTTTGTTGAAAATAACCCTGCCATTAAATGGTGTCCTACCCCGGGCTGTGAAAGAGCAGTCAGACTGACAAAGCAAGGCTCAAGCGCGTCCGGATCTGAAACACTCAGCTTCCCGCTGCTGCGGGCGCCTGCTGTGGACTGCGGGAAAGGACACCTCTTCTGCTGGTTGGTATAAAACTAGTTGCAATCAGCCTTTCTGCTTTCTAACCAAAGCTTTATAGCTTTTAAATTGTAACACACTTGATCTAATTCCTATTCATTTAAAAAATGTGTGAAAAGTAGTCAGAGTTGATATTTAAGGTGTGCTTGTTAAGGACCCGGCGCCATAGCAGATGTGTTTTAAATACTGAATTCTCTCAACAGGGTTGTCTATGAGCTGAATGCTATTCATTTGCTCAATTTACAGTTTCGGAAATTCAGTCACAGAGTTCTCCAGGGGTATGCGGCTCGGAAATGGTAGAAATGAGATTAGAGTGTAGCCCTGTATGATTTGAGGGCTCATGTGCTTAAACTGTAACACCAAATCGCTGATCAGAGTTCAGAAAATGCTTAATTTCTCTTCATAAGATAGAAGCCTCTTGCAGCAATTCTGAACCAGTGGTACCAAGAATTGCCAAGACTTTTTTCCTGAGTTTTTATCCTGAATTCCCATGAATAAGATTCTAATTTTGCTTTTTTGAGTAAGGCTCCAAAAAAATTAAGATGCTCCAAGTGGTTCGGATGCCTAATCCTGCTAAAGAGCCAGTGCCTGCAGGTTTGATGTGCCTTGTTTTTTAGTCAGTTTATATCACATGTCTGGATATATCAGTAATGCAGAAGCCGTGTACCTTCTGTACTTGTTAGACATGTTTCTCAGCCATAGCATTCTACTATAATCAAAGTAGATTTGGTTAATTGCTTTGTTGTAGTTAATGAATCAAAAAAGTCAAATTAACTCTGCTTCTTGCTCAATTCTAGAATTACTGCATATGTCTAGATATACTTTAGATGCAAACAAAACTCTAGTTTTTACTTTTATACTTAACTTGAAACCAAAATTTAGTCAGTGCTGCTAAATAGTCAATAAAACTATCCCTGCTCCGACAGGTCTGTTTATTATCCCTATCAACATTATTAACTGAAAATATTTGTCAGCTACCAGCTTTTATATAGCACCAAATTCTAGGTCACGGATCAGCAAGCTACAGTCTGTGCCTTTTTTGAAAATGAAATTTTATCAAATCCGAGTCATACTCTTTCATGCCGATTTCTTTTTATCTTCTCTGTGTCTGCTTTGAGGATATAATAGCTAAATGAAGTAGTTGCAGTAGAGGTGTTATTGCTCACAAGGCTGGAAACATTTAGTGTCTGACCCTCTACGGAAGGATTTTGCTGACTCCGTTACTTGGATTTACTGAAAAATGAAACAAAAGCCCTGCCTACTACTTTCATCACTAAGTCAGACTGAGCAAAGGAAACAGCAGCAAAATGCTCAACAATTCTTTAAGGTGATTTCTTTCAAAACATGCAAAAGTTGTATTCCTCATTTTTCTTTTTCTTTCTTTTTTTTTTTTTTTTGAAGTTTTGCATTCTTCGTACTCAGTGGTTGGTTCCTGACTCCACTACCTAACATGAGAGAGATAAGCCCCAAACTACAAAAATAAACAGTTATTGAATTTAACTTGTTACCTAAAGAAGGGAAATTCTGGGCCCGGCTCCAGCTGTTGCGGTCACTTGGGGAGTGAACCATCGGACAGAAGACCTTCCTGTCTGTCTCTCCTCCTCTCTGTATATCTGCCGTTCAATAAAAATAATTAAATCTTTTTTAAAAAAAAAGGGAAATTCTATGCATAGAAGCATAAGGTGGAAAGCATTCTCTTCTGAGTCAGTGAGGTTTCTAAAGAGAATTAGACAGATTCCCTGAGGCAGTCATCCCCTAAATCTAGAATGCTCTGCGTACTGCGCACAGCGGAGAAAGTGATGCTTGACTCATTTTTGGAGTCCTCTGGTTGGAAAGAGGATCCTGACTGAGAAAGGTTGATTTAAAAAGTGACTGGAGAGGTACCAAAGAAGGAAACTATGTTGAGAAAAATGAATATTACCATGGAAATACAACATTTGGTGAGATCAGTGAGCGTAAAGTTTGGAAAGACAAAAACTTGTCATTGGCATTATTTTCTTAAGGTGTATGGTTTCTATGATCTGGATGGTATTAGTTTTCTTTTTTTCAAGATTTATTTACTTTTATTGGAAAAGCCAGGTGTACAGAGAGGAGGAGAGGCAGAGAGGAAGATCCTCCATCTTATGGTTTACTCCCCAAGTCGCAATAGCCGAAGCTGCACCGATCCAAAGCCAGGAGCCAGGAACTCTTCCAGGTCTCTCACACGGGTGCAGGTTCCCAAGACTTTGGGCCGTTCTCGACTGCTTTCCCAGGCCACAAGCAGGGAGCTGGATGGGAAGCAAGGCCACCGGGATTAGAACTGGCACCCATATGGGATCCTGGCGCATGCAAGGCGAAGACCCTAACAACTATACTATTGCACCGGTCCCTAGATCGTATTAGTTTTCAGTGTAGCTTAGCTTTACGGACTTGTATTTGTCCCCATTTTCTTTATATACTGTGAATAGTAATTTTGTTTAGACTAAAGATACAGAAACTATTGGGATAACTAGCAGTAGACATCATACTGCAAGAACTGTACAGGTATACAGGTAGTGCTTTATCACATAAATTCTAGATCTATATGTAGAGAAAGGTGCCAGCTTGTTCTCATCCAGTGATGAGACCGTGAGGCAAGATCACAGACCCTCATTGGAATTTCACCTTAGTTCAAGGAACCCTGTGTGCGGCTGCTTGAACTAAGACCAGCTTTAATAATGATTTACTCTTTATCTTTTTCATAAGGGTAATATACAACTTAGTGGAGTCATCTTTTGCTGGACATGGGCACCCGAGGGGAAGAGAAGATGACAAATAAGTTTTAATGAAGCAACATTTCAGATTTAATTTCTTCAGCTTAACTTGTAAAATACAATATTTCTTCAGCTTGCCTTTTAGTTGGTATTTATTAAGGTGCAGGTTTGTGACAATCTTTTTTATATTCTTGGCTTCTAGCTCATGTAGAATGAGAGTTTTGACTATTATGAGAACTTCCAAGTAGCAGTGTTCACATGTTTTCTGATTTCAATGAGACTCAGAAAAAGGAAGCTTTTCAACAGAGGTAACTGTACAAAATAAAAGGATGTAATTCTCATTTTGCCTCTCTTTGTGCCTAAAAGATAACTAAAGATGATTAACAAAACCACAACAAATGGCACTAACAGTTTTTTCTTTTTATTAACTACAACATGACAGAATCACTGGGCCACACGCAGGAGCTGTCTCCTGAGATAGAACTGAATTTATCTCTTGTAGGCAGAAAGAACTGGTAGGCATTTCCCTTCGCATAAGACAGCCCTTGCTGTTGTATTCTTTGTATTTTACTAACAAGTTATTTGCCCATTGTGACTGATCCAGTGATGTTTTCTCACCCTCGCCTTATAACTTGAGATTTGTCTTTCCGGGCAAAATTATATCCAGATGATATCCAGAACCTAGATGGACTCTGCCTTTTGCCAGTCAGCTTTCCCCTGTATTTCTGTTGAGTTAACTCCTCTGCCTTCTGAACTCCTGTCTTCCACAACCCTTTCAAGATGGGCTGTTACTGGGCCTGGCACAATAGCCTAGTGACTAAAATCCTCATCTTCCTGTTCCAGGATCCTGTATGAATACCAGTTCGTGTCATGGCTGCTCCATTTCCCTTCCAGCTCCCTATTTGTAGCCTGGAAAAGCAGTAGAGGACCCTGCACCTCTGAGACCTGGAATAAGTTTCTGGCTGCTAGGTTCGGGACAGCTTAGCTCTTTCTGTTGAGACCACTTAGGGAGTGAACCAGCAGATGGAAGATCTTTGTCTCTCCTTCCTTCTGTAAATCTCTTTCCAGTAAAAATAAGTAAATTTTTTTTAAGTATAAATAAATAAAGTTTGACTGACTTGGTACTTCCTAGGCTGCCAGAGCCTGATCTTTGACAAGCTCAAATTTAACCTGGGACTTGGTCATTTCCGTATTCTCCCCAGTGTCCTCTGTCTTTTAATCACCAACATCTCCACTGCAAACTGAGACGTATTTTTGGAATTCCTCTTGTAGATGTATTTTGAAGTTATTCACTCACTGAAATTGACTTACAGGGATATTCCCAATAATAATGTGTTGGGATTTTAAAATCTGTCACTCAGCGATAGAGCATTTATTGACAGAAGCTGCGCCAAAAGCCTTCAGTGTCACCACCAGCAAGAAACACACAGAACTGGGACGTTTGACTCATAGGATGAGCCACTTGAGAAACCACAGGTTTCTAACCCACTGAAGTCTCCGCTGAATCACAGTACAATGTGCAGACTTGTTGAGCTATTCAGGGAAACCCCTAAAGTGAATGCTGCTCAATTGAAGTTGTCTTCAGCTGGCTCTGTTTTTCTCTGATCTCCATGATAAGAATCTTGATAGCACCTACTTCCTTGTTAGGCTCATGCATCTTAATTGAATTAAACAACTATTTCATGCCTCCTCTCCATTCCCAGAGACTTCACGGGCAAAGGGACACCAGGATCCTCAGGCAAAACAAAAGAAATGATCTTTTACTTGTGGATGTAATAGAGGAGGTGTGTCTTCTCTTGAAAAATCAGCCTCCTTACAGACAAAGAGATGTTTCCAGATTTTTCAGATAGCACCTAGCTCCTTGAATATCATATTCCTCCCAGCGAGAATATCATTTCCCAGACCCAGAAACAAAAGCATGATGCGATTTCCTGGACCAAGCTTGATCTTCGGAACTTGCTCAGATACTGTCTCCTGTATCCACAGTGACAGATGCACCTGTCTACCTAAATAAAATTTACTGAATAAATGCTACTGGAGAGTTTGATCTATCAAATTTCAGTAGAGCACAGATTGATACTGATCTGGGAACAGAGCTCTCCATTTGAGAATTAGTTCTTTAACATAGTCCAAATAACATTGCACTAAAATGTCCAACCTCCAGCAAGCAATGAAGCCTTTCTTCCATTAGATAATGAAACCTAAAACTTTAGTTTAGATTTTTTCCTTTTCCAGCCTGCATTGGAGCTGCTGTGTATATTGCTACTGACAGTTGTATGTGTTGACGTGTTTTCAGGGAGGGGCCATTCCCTGAGCTGTTGATGTTGAGTCACCATCCAATCAGTTTTGGACAGGGTTGAGGACTTGAGATTGGATAGTCATTTTTTTTTTCTTTATCATCTTTTACTAGGGTAGTGTTATTTTGCTTTGTTCTATTTTTGCTTTTTCTGCATTTGCTTGATGTGTAAGTTCACTTAAATATGTGATTGGGGCTGGCACTGTGGTATGACAGGTGAAGCCACTGCCTGCCCTCTGCTGCACTTCTGATCCTATTCCCGCTGTTGCACCTGGGAGAACAGAAGAAGATGACCTCGATGCTTGTGTTCTTGCACCCATGTGGAAGACTAGAAGAAGCTCCTGGCTCGTGGCTTTGGCTTACCCCAACATTGGACATCGCAGCCATTTGGGGATGGAACTAGCAAATAAAAGATCTCCCTCTCTATCTCTCCATCTCTCTCTGTAACTCTTTCAACTAAATTAAATAATTTAAAAAGTACATATATTGACTTGATCTGCCACTGATAATTTGGAAAAGAAAAACTTTTATTTAAAAAAAAGATGCAGTTGTCTGCTTCAAAGTTTCCCTTCCATGTGCTTTACTGCCTTTTTTTTTTTTTAAGATTTATTTTTATTGGACAGTCAGATATAGAGAGAAGAGGAGAGACAGAGAGGAAAATCTTTCATCCATTGGTTCATTCCCCAGATGACTACAAGGGCTGGAGCTGTGCTGATCCGAAGCCAGGAGCCAGGAGGAGCCTCTTCCGGGTCTCCCACATGGGGTGCAGGGTCCCAAGGCTTTGGACCATCCTCGTCTGGTTTCCAAATCCACAAGCAGGGAGGTGGATGGGAAGTGGGGCTGCCGGTATTAGAACTGGCTTCCATATAGGATCCCATCATATGCAAGGCGGGGACTTAAACTGCTAGGCTACCACACTGGACCTGCTTTACTGTCATTTTTAAACAAAGTTTCAACAAATACCAGACTCTTGTAAAATATTTGTCACCAGTCAGTGATTATAGCTTTCTTCATGAATTTAACTTTCTATTCTCCACAGAATATTCCACAAGCTCTATTACTTTTCTCGGAATGTCCTTTTCCCTCTATTGATAATCCGGATCACCAGTCACATATTAATGTCTGATAGCATTAATTATTACCAAGCGTGTTTTCCCAGATGCCTTTATTTTCAAGGATGTTTAATAGTATTAAACAGTGGGCCTGGCACAGGACTCAGTGACTCAATACTTACCTTACATGTGCCAGGATCTCATGTGAGCACCAGTTCATGTCCTGGCTGCCCCACTTCCCATCCAGCTCCGTCCTTGTGGCCTGGGAAGACAATAGAGGATGGCCCAAAGCCTTGGGATCCTGGTCCATGAGGGTGTCCCAGAAGAAGCTTCTCGCTTTGCATTGGCTCAGTGTGACCATTGCAGTCACTTGGGAAGTGAACCAGTGGGTGGAAGATCTTTTTCTCTGCCTTTCCATCTCTCTGTAAACTTGTCTTTCCAATAAAAGTAAAATAAGTCTTTTTAAAAATAGTATTAAATGGCAACCTCTGGCTTTCTTTGTAGCTTCTTTATTTATAGTCTTATTGTCCTGTGTGGAAAATAGTGCAGACCACTCTATGTCCTGCTGCGCCCAGCTTCTCGACTGGAAGCATCTCTCCTGGCCTCCTGCGGGGCTTTAGAAGAGAAAACCCAATGCTGTCTTGTGCAAGGGCAATTCATAGACCCAGGCTTACTCAGAGCAAACTGGCTGTTCAAACAGTGACTCGGTTTAATTAGTATTTGAAAATGCTGGGCTTTCTTCCCATAATTTAGTTCTAGTTTCTTTTCTCTGGCAGGAGAACCCAAACACTGGTATCAATTCTTGTAGGAAAAGAATGTTGACTATGATGTTTAATATCCAGGGAGAATTTATTAACCTTACTAGAAATAATTTATTTCATCAACTTCATTTCTTTTAGATAGGGCAGATGTGTAAAGGTATTGTATCCCATAAGACTTTCCCCCCAGCTTGGTTGAGGTGTAATTAACAGAGTTCTCCTCTAAGTCCTGAGAAACATAGACTACATTTGCACATGGATTTTCCAGCACCATATGGCAACACTGTGCCTAGACCTGCAGCATGATTCCTGGTGTAGTGTGTACCAAATTAAAAGTAGTGCTTATCACAGATATCTTTTACATTTCTGAAAAGCAGCATGGATTTTAATATACACTGAAGCATATATGCTATACCCTGTTCCATTTTTAATGAACCTAATTTTTCTGAATGCCTAAATTACCTCTATGTTGCCAAGAGCTGTTTAAGACTGCAGGTAAGGAAAATATTACTCAAATATCAGATTGGGCAGTAAGTCAGGAATGTAGGGCAGCTACCTTATCCTTTCAGACAAGATTGGGCATGTTCAAGGATGCTTTTTGCTGTTTTTGTAACCATGTTTAAGTATACAGGTTTGTGGGGCATTCTTTGCACTTAACAGTGCAATGGCCACACCAGTCTGTCTGTCTTGAGACCTTCTCCACACTCTCAAAGAGACTGTAAACAGTGAACAATAGCTCCTCAACTGTCTCTCTCCAGTTGCTATTACCCCATTCTTTTTTCTGTCATTGCAATTTCACCTCTTCTAAATTTTGACATAATACAATCCTAGTCTTTGTGCTTCTGACTTATTTCATTTAACAAGATCAAGTTTCACCAATGCTGTTGTAGGTGTTCTTATTGTGGTTGGATAACGTTCTAACATCTGCTTGTACCATACTTTGTTTACACATCTATCTGTTGATGAGCACTCAAATCTTTTTCACCTTTTGGCTGTTGTGCATAATACTGCTTCTGAGGGCTGATCTACAATCCTGAATCCTTGCTCTCAGTTCCCTAAAGTGTACACCTTAGAGAGAAATTACTGAATCACAACATGGTAATTTTTCTATTTGACCTTTTCAGGAACAACTACACTGTTTCCAGTAACAGCCACATTGGTTTTTACTTTTCAGCCACATAAAGGGTCCCAGTTTTTGCAAATAACATTTATATTGTTATAAACATTTATAACATTTATAATGTTCCAGGGTTTTTTTTTATAATAGCCATCTTAATGTAGCATGTGATGAAGTTGACACATTGTTAATGGAGTGAAATGTACTCATTTTATAAGGCTACCTGAGTCTGTTGATGGGTCTGCTTAACAGACTTCGCGCTCTTAGTCAGATCTTTATGTAATGATGATGCTGACAATAGTGTCCGTAGTGATGGTGGTATCACTTCCAAATGGTGTTTGTTCCTCTCCCCCAAATAGTATTTTGTTATTAGCTGTCTGAAATAATCATCTTTGCACAAGAGCTGTAGGAGCATATCATTACATTATGAATTATGAATGAGTACATTGGAAAAAACTCGTGTGATACCATATTTTGGAATTGCAGTTTTCAATGCCTGTATTAAAAGGTCTCATTTCCCATCAGGCCCACGTCTGGTTGTCGTGCACTCTGCCATGAGTTCCTGAGGAGCATCTGACGTTGCCTTGTCTGTGCTTTCTTCTCTAGGGAGTGCCTTGGTGAAGCACACGAACCTTGTGACTGCCAAACATGGAAAAACTGGCTACAAAAAATCACAGAAATGAAACCGGAAGAACGTAAGAGGAATTTTTAGATAGCTTTGCTTTATATTTCCTAATAACATTCAAAATAATATCATGTTTCTTACACTCTTCATTTGAGAAGTTGCCACATTACAATCCTAGCACTCCAGTGTTTGATCGTGCCCCTCTGACCAGCATGATGGAGTTCATGGAGATCATAGAGGTTTTTGCAAGGAGGAATCATGGACTCCATGTTTCTGAAGAATTAACTTTCTAACTTCAGATAAAAGGGTCAGTGGGGTCATATATGACCTGCCCAGGAAGCTGCCTTTCACCCTGGGGTGAGCCCGCCAGCTCTTGAGTGCCTCATGAAAGTAGTTGATGATCTGAAGTGAGCAGAAGCTTCTCATGTCCCCAAGAGCTTCCCATGAAGACCAAGACAGTTCACCTTGCTGTTCTGTGATTCTGCAGACTTACTTTCATTAAAGATCATGTCTGTTAACCACGCAGAGTCTCTTCCTCCCCGCGGAAATGCTGAAGTTGCTATCAGTAATCCTGATTTATAGGTTGAGTTGAATGATGGAGGGTGTGTGCCTGGTGAAAACTGATCCTGACTCTCTGAAGGGATGCCTTTTGAAAGCTTCTTCATAGCAATTCCTATATTCAATGAGTTAATGTATCTGCTATACCGTAATTTCCCATTTCCTAAAATGTGCTGTGAAAACTTTTATTACAAATTAACATAAATGAAAATTAATTTGCCTCAGATTTTTTTGATTTTCCTTGTCAACTATTCTTAGATAACGGAGTTAACATTTGAGAATTGCAAATCAGTACCAAGAATACTCTCAGTGAAACCAGGTATTGTAGTTCGCTGGGTTAATCCACCCAGACCAGAGTACTGGTTCAAGTCCTAGCTACTCTGCTTCTGATCCAGTTTCCTTCTTATGTGCTTGGGAAGGCAGCAGAAGCTGGCCCAAGTGCCAGGGCCTCTAGCTCCAATGTGGCAGCCCAGAAGCGAGGTCCTGACTTCTGCTTCAGCTTCATCCACAACTGGCTGTGTGGTTATTTAGAGAGTGAACCAGCAGATGTCAGATAGCACTCTATCTGTCCCTGTCTTTGTCACTGGCTTTCAAATAAATGAATCTTACAAGAAATATATATATATATATATATATATATATATATATATATATATATACATACACACACACACACACACACTCAGTGAGTCTATACTTAGGAGCAAAGCATGTGATAAAGAACAATACAGGGAATACAGAGGCCAGTAGGAAGCTGTCAGCTAATTACAGTGTTACCTGATAACTGGAAGAGTTGACTAATGTTGATAACAGAAACAAAAACAACTAAACAAGGTTTGGGGGAAAACATTTGCCACAGGATGTTCCTGGTAACAGTGAGCTGTCAGTTGAGTATTAGTGTATCTGTGAAGACAGAGATGCCTGAAGCATTCCTGTTAGCACTGCTGAGGTGCTGGGAAGGTACTGGCAGCCTTACCTTACACACTTGTGCTGTAAAGGAGTCTACCATTGCCTGAGGGTTGGTCCTCCACATTTTTGTCTGATAAGCTTCATTTTGTGCACTAACTCAGGGTTGGTTTAGTCTCTAAATTAGGATGTCAGATTGTTCATTGGTAGTGAGAAAGATTCCTTACATGGTGAGAAGCTCATGCCCTATATGCAGGAGAGGGTCGTCTCAGTGTAGTCCATCATGAGGCCTCATTCAACATTACTGTAATGTTCATGCACGCATCACTCATTGCTCTTGGTACCCACCCAGTTTCCCTAGTTTCACATTTGGGTCTGTGTATGTATGTTCCACAAATAGATGAGTACAGTTACTCTGGCACTTTTTACTATGACAAGAACAATTGAATTTTGCTTTCTTTTCCTGTTTCTAGCAGCTAAAAAACTGTTTCTGATAGGAATGACCTGCGTTGCCCTTATATTTCTGTATACATTTCTTTAGAACTTGTTAAGTTCTAACTTAAGGAGAGAAGTTAACTAAAGAGGAGACCAAAAACATGTATGTTGCCAGAGTGAGAATGTTTTCATCAAATTGTTTGAATTTGTTTTCACTGAATAAGCCATAGAGTGCTTTACTTAAATGGGAAAGTGGCATTATCAGAGAGATTTTTATCAGGATAGCTGATGAGATAGACATTGAATGAGAAAGAAAACAAAGCCAGAAAAGTGAGTTTTTGACTTGAGTCAGAGGACAGGTCATAATGCCATCAACAAAGTGGAATATTCAAAGAAAGGAATAACTTCCAAGGAAAAAATGAGGAGTTTTGGCATGGGCATTTCACTCAGAATTGAGCAACTTGCAAAATATGCGTGTAGAGGGATTTTGCAAATGATCATTCACAGCTCGGAAGAAATGCTAATAAAGCTTCTGAAGTTGATGTTAGATGTTCTCTGGATCATAATTAACACTTACTTAGTGCTACTGTAAGTTAGAATGTGGAGGAATGGTGCCCTTCATGCTCTTGAGGTTTATATTGTGGAGATGCCCACTTCAATATGTAAGAAAAACTGTGCTGTGAGTGTGGGAGGAGCAGAGTGTCTGTGGTGAAGGACAGAGAAGGGAAGGCCAGTCATCAGTGACCCCATGAGGAACTGGTGCTGCTGAAGCTGCATCCTGAGGAGCTGGTGGCTGTTCCTCCTGTGGTGCATGTCCAGAAGGTCATTGCACGCCCAGGCTGAAGTGCCTGCAGACTGCAGAGCCTACCCAGAGCTTGGGAGTGGTTAGGACCACCAGAGACATGACACTGCTGAGCAGCAGTCAGACCAGTTCCTGGCCAGGAGCTGTGTGGGTGAGGCAGTGATGAATGAGGATGCTAATTAGATCATCCAGACAGAAGAGTGGTGATGAGTTGGAGAATGTGGAGACCCTAGGCATGAACTGTTTATGAGACAGTATCAGCATGTCCCGATGACAAGATAGGAAGGTTTCTACAGTACAGGGTAAGTACACATGGGACCTGATTGTGGTGTGTACAGAACACTTAGCAGATGGACAGTATTAAGTTGTAGATGTTGTGTACTTTCTAGTTGCCTGCAAGATTTAACACAGCAAAGAAGCAATTACTCCATGTTATTGATCTTGAGTAGAAAATGCTAGACATGGTTTACATGAGAATAAAGCAAGTATTTTGAAATCTAGTAATTTTTAGTTATCATTTACCACTTTAAAGTTGGTTCCACCATTCCATATCCACAGATAAATTTGTGCTTGGAAAAGAAAGGAGTTACCTGACTGGCAAGAACAATTATTGCTGGACCTCTAGAGGAATATCCTTATGACAGTGATTCTGATCCCCAAAATTACAGGAAACAGAAGTATCAGAAAGTGTTGTACTTGGAGAATATACGGTTGCCTCTAATGGCCACATTTGAGGGAGACGAAAGCTGAAGATTGCCCTTGAAGAGAACAGTGGGTGATTGTTAGGCTAGGCAAGAGACCAAGGATGCCTGGGTGTATTCTACCAGAGAGGGTAGACAGTCCCACCTGCTGTACTGCTGTATGCACTCTACATTGCAAAGGGGTGATTTCTAAAAAGTGTTAGTGATCACCTTCATGGCGGTAGTGCATGATATTATGGTATAACAAATAGATTAAATGTGGTTTAGCATTTGCACACTGCTTTGAACCATAGACATTTTTCCTTACATTTTTTGCTAAGGAATCACATACGTGTTTTTAGTCTAACTGTGGATTTATGGGTTTTCTTATGTATACCTAGTATTCCAAAGTGTTAATTTTGAGACTCAAAAGGAGTTACAATATGTTAGTGTATGAGAAAAAAAGTAGTAGTAATAAGTTAAAATCAGAGGTTCATTCCATATAAAGATCCAACTGTTTTCTAAGCACTGAAATTGCCTCTGTTGTGTCTTAATTAATGCAGGAAGCAGAAATGATTCTATTTTCTGTGAAGTGGTTATTTTGGAAAATATTTATATAGTTCTTTCATTCTATTTAATAAATGCTTATTGAATGGAATTCAGATTCTCTATTTTAAAATTCAGTCTTTAAAAGCAGCTTTTTTATGTACATACACATTGATTCCACTAATCTTACATTTTATTACATTTTCATACCTTATTAAATGGAGTAATATTTCCAAGAGATCTGGTCACAGTAGATGCTTAAGAAAAGAAGGCCAAGATAAAATAGACAGATGACTGAAGTGAAGGGCAAATTTCAAAAGTCAGCAGGAATAAAACAGGCTCACCGAGTATAGTGGAAAGAGATAGGTACTGAGGATGTTCAGAACGGTGTGTTCGAAGGACAAGTACATGCAGAGAACTAGCAGTAAGACGTCTTTTTCAAACAAGTCTTTATCATTGTACTAGCTGATTGTTTCTTGAATGTGACTTACTACTCCACGCTGTCCACTAGGATGCATAAAATTAGCAGCTGGCATTCTCTCCTACGGTGAGAGAGAAAAGCTGTTGTTTTTGGCCACACAGTGCTTTATTTCTTGTGTGGGTTTTTGTTGGTGGTGGCTTTGTGCTATTTGTTATGACAATGGCCAGTAAAAAATCTTAAGAACACGTTGGGGCCTCTGAGTTAAAAATAAAGTCGGTGCCGAGTGAAGGATAGCGATTGTATTGTTTGTTTCAGTTTTTGCTCCTCTAGCTTATGTGAACAGAAGTTCATGGAGAAATCTCTTTCATACTGGATTTCGTGAACAGGGTTCTTAGAATGGAGCTCCTCATCTTGTAATTATGCTCCGCAAAGTGGAGCTATTTAAAGCCTTTACCATAGATCCTAGTGGCAAAAGAAATATTGACAAAAGTGGACAGACCACCTGCAGATAAAGGTTAAGTTGTATCCCACTGAAATTGTGCTCTGAAGCATCCATGTTTGTCTTTGTGCTTAATATCCAAAGTCGTTGGAGTCAGTGAAGCCTACGAGGACGCTGCCAATTGTCTCTGGCTGTTAACCAACTCCAAGCCTTGTGCAAACTGCAAGTCTCCAATACAGAAGAATGAAGGCTGCAACCACATGCAGTGTGCCAAGGTAAGGAGCTGAGCAGGCATTTGCAGGCCTCGTGCTTGGAACTTCGGCTTAGTTGGATGTCAGTCCAAGGAAAATGAAAACATTAAAACTTCTTAGGTTTCGGATAGGTGTTCAGAGATTCCATTTTACATTCCTTGTAAAATAATTAATAGATTGGTCTATATCACTAAATTGTACAGTCATAGGGAATGTTCAAAGCAAGGGTTAAAAAAAAAAGAAAAGAAAAAGCGAGGATAATATTCTATGCCTGAGTCCTTTTCCGCTGGTTGAAAGTTGTCTGAAGGGACTTATGTTCTTCAAAGAGCTAATGGAAAATGGAATTAAAACATAAGTTTACTTTGGTGCAAAAGAATTTTTGAGATCTATGCAAGTTATAAAGTACTGTGTTGTATATATATCTTGCAAAACAGGTTTTAATCACACAGCTTTAGGCTCAGGTAGGCCCACACAGGCCCCGGGCAATGTACTTCAGGCCCAGTCAGTGTGGGATGTGTTTATGGATGTGTGTGTAAATATCCACAGCAATGGCCTGACAGCTAAGTCATTTAAATAAATCATCATTTAAATAAATTCTTACCGTATGCGAAGTGAAAAAAAAAAAAAGAAAAATCCACTTGACTGAATATAATTAATACAAATACCTGATTATTTACATAATGTATCCGAAGCCTAGACAAATATAACTTTCTAACTTAGAAAAAAACTACCATGTGTTTAAAATATTCCAGATTAGATTAATAACATTTTATTAATAGATGCCAACATTTATGAATCTTTTTGTTCTAAGACTTTGAGAGTTTAATTTTTTTCCCTTCATTGAAGTATCATCTGCGTTTTAAAAGTGACTATCTGAAATTTGCAGAGGATAGTGTCATGTTTTCTATTTAGGAAATCCAAGAAGTGTAGAGTTCAGATTCTAGTAAAATACAGCAATTATTTCCTACATATTTCTTAGTTTTGAACTACAGGGCTTAATGATCATTTCTGTGACTTGCAAAAGAATACCAGCTAGCAGATGGTTTGCACACATCTGTGTTACTGTAGAGATAATGTAGGTAAACTAACTTGGTGACATCGTAACAACTTCTTCCAGGCAGAAAGGAAGACCTAGTGCAGTGTTCCGGAGAAACACTAGCGTGCCACTGCTTCACACAAGAGTTGTCCCAAATTGTTTTGTCTGTTTGTTTTTATTTCTAATATCCATATTCATTTTCTTTCCTTGGGAAATCTGATATAGACTACCAACGTGTATAGACAAGTGTAGATAAACCATAACATCAGCAGAATACAGACTATTTTTATTTCCTTCATAGCCCTACTGATAGTAAGGACTTGGCAAATATGTGCTGTGTGATTATGAATTAATTAGTCTGGTTATATAAAATAATCCAGTTTAGACACATTCTGCTCAGTCTTCCTGTTAAATTTAAAGCGGACATTTACATGTTAATGTAAACTTACATGTAAATATCATGGTTTTTTTTTTTTTTTTAAGATTTGTTCATCTAGGGCCCGGCGCGGTGGCGCAAGTGGCTAAGTCCTCACCTTGCACGCCCGGGATCCCATATGGGCGCCGGTTCTAATCCCGGCAGCCCCGCTTCCCTTCCAGCTCCCTGCCTGTGGCCTGGGAAAGCAGTCGAGGACGGCCCAAAGCTTTGGGAACCTGCACCCGCGTGGGAGACCCAGAAGAGGCTCCTGGCTTCGGATCGGCATAGTATCGGCCCGTTGCGGCTCACTTGGGGAGTGAATCATCGGACGGAAGATCTTCCTCTCTGTCTCTCCTCTCTGTATATCCGCCTTTCCAATAAAAAATAATAAAAATAAATCTTTACAAGATTTGTTCATCTAAAAGGCAAAATTACTGAGAGCTCTGGTTCACTTCCAGAATGGCCACTATGGCTGGGACTAGGACATGTCAGAGACGGGAAGCATGAGCTTCGTCTGGGTCTCCCATGTAAATACACGCGTCCAAGGCCTTGAACCACCTTCTGATGCTTGCCCAGGCCGGGGACAGGAGCTGGAGCTGAGCTCCATTGACGGCCACATGGGATACTGGCAGTACGGCAGCAACTTAACTGCATTGCCAACCCCAAATTGTGTGCTTCCAAAGTATTTTTTAATGAACAAATAGGAAACTAAGGAATGAATTAAGAATATAGCCAAAAATGTGAAGAAAATTGGAAGATGTCTTTTTTTCTTTAAAGTTTATTTACTTGAAAGGACAAAGTAACAAAGGAAGGAGGAGGCAAAGAGAAAGATCTTCCATGTGCTGGTTCAGTCCCCAAATGGTTACAAAAGCTAAGGGAATAGACCAGGCCAAACCAGGAGCTTCTTTGGGCCATCCAGGCGCATTAGCAGGGAGCTGGAAGTGCAGTGCCCTGGCCTCAAGCCCATGGGGATGCAAGCACTGCTGCTTTACATTTAACTTGCTGTGCTACTGCTCTAGTCCCAGATTTTAGGTACAAACTGAAAAATTAGTGTAGCTAATAAGTAATCCAAAAGTACTTCTCCACAGAATCAGTATTTGAGTTCCTGCAGCCCATGTAGGAGACCAGGATGGGGTTTCTAGATCCTGGCTTCAACTTTGGCTCAGCCCTAACTTGTTGCTGGCAGTTAAGGAGTGAACTAACAGATAAAAGATTGGTATCTCTCCTTCACTCTCTTACTGTGCCTTCTAAACAAATACCTATTTTTTAAAGATTTATTTTGTATTTTTATGGAAAAGTCAGATATACAGAGGAGAGACAGAGAGGAAGATCTTCCGTCTGTTCATTCACTCCCTAAGCAGCTGCAATGGCCAAGAATGAGCCGATCTGAAGCCAGAAGCCCAGAGCTTCTCCTGGGTCTCCCACATGGGTACAGGGTCCCAAGGATTTTCTACCATCCTTGTCTGCTGTCCCAGGCCACGAACAGGGAGCTGGATGGGAAGTGGGGTGCTAGGACATTAACTGGCACCCATATGGGATCCTGGGGCATGCAAGGCAAGGACTTCAGCTGCTAGGCTACCATGCCAGGCCCCAAACAAATGTATTTTTAAAAGTTAAAAATGAGGGACCCAGCGCGGTGGCGCAAGTGGTTAAGGTCCTCACCTTGCACACCCGGGATCCCATATGGGCGCCGGTTCTATCCTGGCAGCCCCGCTTCCCTTCCAGCTCCCTGCCTGTGGCCTGGGAAAGCAGTCGAGGATGGCCCAAGGCTTTGAGACCCTGCACCCACGTGGGAGACCCGGAAAAGGCTCCTGGCTTTGGATCGGTGCAGTACCGGCCATTGCGCTCACTTGGGGAGTGAATCATCAGACGGAAGATCTTCCTCTCTGTCTCTCCTCTCTGTATATCCGCCTTTCCAATAATAAAAAATAATAATAAAAATAAATCTTTTTTAAAAAAAAAATTAAAAATGAGGGCCCGGCGGCATGGCCTAGCAGCTAAAGTCCTCACCTTGAACGCACTGAGATTCCATATGGGCGCTGGTTCTAATCCCGGCAGCTCCACTTCCCATCCAGCTCCCTGCTTGTGGCCTAGGAAAACAGTCAAAGCTTTGGGACCCTGCACCCGTGTGGGAGACCTGGAAGAAGTTCCTGGATCCTGGCTTCGGATCGGCATAGCATTGGCCTTTGCGCTTACTTGGGGAGTGAATCATTGGACGGAAGATCTTCCTCTCTCTGTCTCTCCTCCTCTCTGTATGTCTGACTTTCCAATAAATAAAATTTTAAAAATAAAAAATAAAAGTAGAGCAATAAGGAATAACTTTGGCTAACTCTTGCAGATAAATTTCAACTTGAATTTGGAATGGATACAATTTCTTTCTTTTTTTTTTTTGCATTTATGTTGATGGTAGTAAATTTGTTTTTATAAGATTTATTTATTTTTATTTGAAAGGCAATTAAAACAGAGTTAAGGAGAGACATACAAAAAAATATTTTGGGGGGCTTAGTAGGTCCTTTATTCCGGCAGGGTAGGAACAGGAGCCGGGCTGGAGGGGGAGAAAACTAGAAGGGACACGTCTCCTGCCATGGTGAAGGCGCAGGACAGGGCAGAGCGAGGAGAAGGGCAACACAGGACATTTTTTTCATGTGCTGGTTTACTACCCAGATCACCACGACAAAACTTCCTCTGGATCTCCCACATGGGTGCAGGGACCTAAGGCTTTGGACAATCATCCATTGCTTTTCGAGGCATTTTAACAAGGGGCTGAATCAAAAGTGAAGCATATGAGACTTAAACTGGCACCGTTGTGGAATGGTGGCACTGAAGGCAGAGTCGTAGTGTGCTACCACAGTGCCAGCCCCAAATTTCTTAAGAAAATGTAAATTCATTAAAACTGACTGTGGAAGAGCTACAATGTCAAAATAAACTCATTTCCATAGATGAAAGCAGAATCATTTTGGAAAGGTCTCCCCATCTTAAATTCTCTTAGCAGTGATGAACTTTGACTGTTTTGCAATAGAGGTTGTTAAACCTTTAACATGTAGATAATCCCAGTGCTATTTCCATGGAAGTTTGTTTTTTGTCTGTCTGTTTTTACTTTAAAGGAAACATTTAACAATTTTTTATAAAGTGACCAGAAACTGTTTTCCATTTTTTTCTTCTATTTGAAGATTTATGTATTCTTCATTCATTCTAGAGAGAAGCAGTGAGAGAGGTCTTCTATATTCTGATTGGCCCAGGCTCTTTGGCTGCATTCTGCTGCTTTTCCCAGCCACGTGTGCAGGGAAGAGGGTTAGAAGTAGAGTGGACTCAAACCAGTGGTCATATGGAATGTCGCAGGAAATGGTTTAACCCACTCTGCCACAATGTCAACCCCAGTGATCAGAGCCTTGATACTTCTTGACAAGATCATAAAAATGAAACACTAAATTAATACTAAAATTAACAATGCAGATGTCCTAAGTAAGATATTTATGAGAAAAGAAATCATACAGGTATTAACAGACATGGTTTAGCAGAACATATTAAAGGAGCAGTTTGACCAAGTGAGGTTTCCTCCAGGAATATGAGAATGATTTAGTATTGGGGAAGCTGTTGCAATATTTCATTTATTGATATATCTGAGGAGGAATACCACTTATTTTATGCAGATGTTGAAAAGGCATTTAACAGAAAATTAACCATCCTTTAGAAAACACTGAATGTGGGCCCAGTGTGATAGCCTAATGGCTAAATCCTTCCCTTGCATCCACTGGAATCCCATATGGGTGCCAGTTTGTGTCCCAGCTGTTTCACTTCCCATCCAACTCCCTGCTTGTGGCCTGGGAAAGCAGTAGAGGATGGTCCAAAGCCCTGGGACCCTGTTCCCATGGGGGGGTCCCGGAAGAGGTTCCTAGCTCTTGGCTTCAGATCAGATCAGCTCCAACTATTGCAGCCACTTGGAGAGTGAGACAGCAATGGAAGATCTTCCTCTCTGTCACTCCTTCTCTCTGCAAATCTGCCTTTCCAATAAAAAGAATAAATCTTTTTTTAAAAGTTTGAAAAAAAGAAAATGCTAAAAGCAATAGGTGTGACATTTAGGACAAGTGTTTTGGTGCAGTGAATGAGCTGCCCTTGGTGTTCTGGTAAGTTCCACCTCTGCTTCTGACCCGGTTTCCTGCTAATGTGCACAGTGGGAGGCAGCAGGTGGTGGTTCAGGTGTTTGAGCCCTGCCACCCAGGTAGGAAACCCAATGGATTTCCTCACTTGGCCTGGCCCAGCCGGCTTTGGTGGGCTTCCGGGCAGTTCATGGGCTTCCGGGCAGTTCACTAGTGGATGGGAGTTTTCTTCCTCTTAAGTAAATTTTTAAAAATAAAAAATTTACTCCATTTATAGTTTTTCTTCTAATAGCATTCTTGCATGTAGTCCTTGAAGTTCCTTCAAATGAGTCCATTTAAAAAATTTTACACTGAAATAAAAATCTTTTATGCCCATTTTCCATGAACTTTTAAAAAGTCCATTCACATTATTATTTACTCTTTAGTTGCACCTTGTAACACAATGATTTTAAACTGCCTCCACATCTTTCCTAAATGCAGAAAAGATCTCCTAAAAAAATATGGGAAGATTAGTTCATGGCCACATAGGCAGGGTTGTTGAATCTTTATGAATTGATAGACTGTTAGCCAGTTTTCATGTTGACATAAGGAGATGTATGAATACATGTTTTCTTTTGAAGTGCAAGTATGACTTTTGCTGGATTTGCCTAGAAGAATGGAAAAAGCATAGTTCTTCCACCGGAGGTTATTACAGGTGTACTCGCTATGAAGTCATTCAGCACGTGGAGGAGCAGTCCAAGGAAATGACCGTGGAGGTAAAGATCCCAGGAAGCCACGGCTTCCGCCCCACCCCCTCGGTGCCACAGGAAGCGCTTTGCTGTCCTTCATCTCCCAGCTTTATCATGATGAGACATTAAATTGGATTCTCTTTAGGGGATTTTGTTTGTTTGTTTTGGTAAAGATTTGAAATGCCTGAAAATATCTTAGCCTACTTCTGAAAGACTTAGAAACAATTTTAACATAATATCAACAATATTCTGTTACAGTGCAGACAGTCACCGATTTCTCACTGCTTGGAGCTACAAGGTAGCTGAGCAGGTTCTTGGTGAAGGTTTTCCCCTGTCCTCACACGCACTGGGAAGGGAGAGTGCTGGTGTCCCTTCTTGCGTAGGAGGCCACCATCTCTGTTAGAACAGGACCCACTACAATGACCATTCGTAACCTTTATCACCTCCTCACTTCACAGATCTTGAGATTCTCGTCACAGGAATTTGGGCTTCAACGTAAGAATTCTGAGGGTGCCCAAGTCAGCCCATAGGAATGAGCAATGAGCTGTGTAATGAAACACTGAAGATCTTGTAATGTAGGAATCAGGGCCACTTGGGTGCTGCACTTGTGAATCAGCTGTTTGTCACAGGGAACACAAATGCAAAACTTTGTTCTAGGCTCCCTTCAGAGCCACCGGGTGTGCAAACAATGGTCTGTTTGCATTCGTGCCTATTATTGCTAATTACTTGGCAGTAACTCCTTCAAAACAGTTTTAGTAGTTCCTTGTTCTTATAAAATCATTTATGGACTTTTGTTCTCTAGGCCGAGAAAAAACACAAACGGTTTCAGGAGCTTGACAGATTTATGCACTATTACACAAGATTTAAGAACCATGAGCATAGTTACCAGGTATGTCTCAGATCATTACTCATGAGCCATGCTGTGCTACACTTCATAAATGAATAAAGCAAATGGCTCAAATACTTTGTTTCTTTTTCTTTAGTTAGAACAACGCCTTCTTAAAACAGCCAAAGAAAAGATGGAGCAATTGAGCAGAGCTCTCAAAGAAAGTAAGTTGTATGTGGTATGTGTGGTAGTTAATGTAACCGTGCTAAGTCATTGAAGGGTACAAGGTTAGGAGTGTGTATATCCATAAGCCAGTGTGCTGTCTTAAGTTCTCTGGAGCCCTAAGCACCGCGCAGGTGAGACCTGTGTCAGTGGGTTTCTTGCTCAGTACCTAACCTGTTGCTTTAATGCAGCCTAGATAAATAAAACAACACCTCCAATCGGGCAGGCACCATCCTGCCGACAGAAGTCTTCTGGTGTGGCCCTGCCAAGACAGCTGCCCGCGGGCCTTGGAATTCAGTATATCTCTTTGCATGCTAATTTTAAAGGGCCACAAATGATGTTAGAAATATTCAGATGGCCCTCGGTAGAAAAAGATTCTCCTTGCTGGGGAAACTACAATGTTAGAAAAATGGATGGCCACAGTAGGGCACCCCTGACCTAGTGAATGTTGCATAGTTGTTGTGGCCTGAGATATGGTGTGCAAGTCAGATACAGACCGGAGAGAAAGAGTCCTTTTGCTAGTAGATGATCAGTGATAAAATCACAGAGTAGAGCCACATGGAGAGGCTGACTTGTGGATCCTAAACCGGCAGCTACCAAGAGAACGCTGCCCAAATACGGCTTCAGTGTGGTTATGTCTTTAGCATGTAATATCCCCCAGTGACTGCATAGAGCACACATTCCAGTATGTTTGCTTTTAAAAGGTCACATTTTATGTCTATGTATGAAATATATGTTTTAAGCCTTAAAAAATGTGATCAGTTATACTTGTTTTTGCTCTATTTTATAAAAGTGACAATGAACACACCTTCTTCATGAAGACCTTCTAGTCAAAACATAGTATTACATGAAATAAATCAGAGTGAAGAGGAAAGTATGAATACAGCAGGCTTAGTGTCCTTGTTAATTTTTCATTCTTGGACATTGTTAGTGACGAAACCACATCCCACCAGTATCAAACTCTTGAAATATTTCCCACAATAAAAATCGCTCGAGCTTCCCCGGTGCTCCCACAGGGATCTTAATCTCTCATCTCATCACTGAGGTGACCCTGACGACCAGAAGGCACCTGGCAGTAGTCAGCCATCTGTATTTCCTGGTGGGAAGTCCCACTGCTGCTCGGCTTCCGGGGCTTCCGGTCAGGGTGGCCAGAGGTGGGACGAATGGAGAGCTACGGCAGTGGAGGAAGCACTGGGTTCTCACGCATGCCACGATGAGGAAGAGGAGTGTTGCTCTGGTTTTGTCTTGGCATCTTCTTTCAGATGCCTTGCTAAGGCTGTGTGTCCTCAGGAGTGTGCAGTGTTAGGTACGGTGCCTGTATCGGTTTATGCACAAACACTTGTAACTGCTTCCAACAGGCATGCACGATGCTTATAAGTTTTATCAGTTTAATCTGATGCTTATAAGTTTTATCAGTTTACAGTTTTCTGCTTAATTTCTGTTTACTCTAAAAGTAGAACATTGTGATATTTATTTTTGCAAGTAAGAGTCTCAGATATTCCTGTCTTTCCTCCACACTCTTCCTTTATTTCCTTTATTTAACAGCATTAGTTATCCAGTTGTTGCCCAGAAGGTTGTATCCCCTTTTTTTTCTGATGTTTTTGGTAATTTTGCTGGGCATATTGTGGAAAATGAGGTGAAGCATGGCCCCCGTGGGCAGGCCAAAACTGTGTAGGTCGAGCAGTGGGGCAGGAGCCAAGACCTGCAGGGGACGTGGCATCCCTTCCTGGCCGCCCCCCGCACCCCAACAGCACTGGGTGTGGGCTGCGCCTGCAAACCCACGTGGGTTACACACAGATGCTTCCCCCTGATTTACAGTCTAGTTCAAACAAGTGTCATCAGTTTCTTAAGAATCCTTTATTTTTTATTTTTTCAAAGAGAACACACAGTGGTTTATTTAATTTTACAACAGTGTATTTGCAAAGAAAGGTTTCACTGTGATCTGATTTCTTTGTAGCTGAAGGAGGCTGCCCAGATACCACTTTCATTGAAGACGCAGTTCATGTGCTCTTAAAAACTCGACGTATTCTCAAGTGTTCTTATCCATATGGATTCTTCTTAGAACCCAAAAGCACAAAAAAAGAAATTTTTGAACTAATGCAAGTAAGATGTCTTTTTTAAATTATGCTTACATGGTAGCAGTTGTAATGAAAGCACATATTTCTTAAATCAGTTAACTGTTTTATCTAATTTGATTCTGATTAATAAAATAATAGTTTTGTTTTTGTGCTTAAAACAATATTTAAATAAGGGAAAACTTACCAATAATAAACTGAAATCTTGTGTATAGCTCCTTTTGCAACTAGGAATTTTGCCTTTGAAGATGAAACCAACACACATTACAGTGTATGAAGAAAAAGTTGATGATTCCCAGTTTCTTATAAAAATGCAACGCCAGAAAATCACAGTATTAGCAGTAAAAGTACCAGTGCCAGCTGACCTCTGACTTCATTGTACCATCTGACTATCCTTGTTGCAGTTCTGATGTTAGCCCTTTGTACCACAGTCCCATTTGTGTCCAAGATTTCCTTCAGAATTAATATCCATTTTGTCTATTCTGCCCTCCAGACCTGCTGCACGTCACAGCAGTCTTGTCTTGCTTCAGATCTCTGCGTCCTTCTGGATAACCAGCACTATGGCATGATGCATTTGCTTGTGTAGTACTTTTAATATATTCGTTTCTTCACCCAATTATCAATTCTTTGTAGGCAACCAGTGCACTCACTGCTTCTTTGTAATGTGACTTCCTGTATATGATCCTTTGTTCTGTCTCAAACCCTGGAAAAAATGTGTAAAACCACATTCAAAGGGAAGTTATTTCAAAATGTGGATTTATTTCCAACTTTAGAAGAATTAACTTTAACTGAGAAACCAGATAGACGCTGGATTTGCTATTGATTAACCCACTCAACCTGTAATCTTTTTTTCTTCCCCTCTCTCCCTTTCCCTCTTCTGAACACAGACAGACCTAGAAATGGTCACTGAAGACCTTGCCCAAAAAGTCAACAGACCTTACCTTCGCACACCCCGCCACAAGATCATCAAGGCAGCCTGTCTGGTGCAGCAGAAGAGACAAGAGTTCCTGGCCTCTGTGGCTCGCGGTGTCGCTCCTGCAGACTCGCCGGAAGCCCCGAGGCGCAGGTAGGCCAGCGCCAGGTGGAGGGCCTCCCGGCTCCTGCCACGTCGCAGCGTTCCCTGCTTTTACCCGCCTAGTGTTCATATTCCAGTGTTAATACTCAAAGCGGGGGTGGCTGACAAAAGTATGCTAACTTCTTTTTAATGTTTTTTTCCCTAAGTACTATTTCTATTTTTTTTTCTTATTTGTTAGTGTGCAGTTCCTCAGGCTAAATTAGAGTAGGTTATTGTTACATTTGATGTGAACTCAAAACTGAGAACATTAGAATGTGTCATTCCAAATACTTACAGTATATAGTGATAGCACAGTCACATGACAGTCATAAACATCTTTTTAAAAAACTGTGAAGAAATGAGAAACCGATTTTCATTAAAGCATTTAGGAGACCCAGATTTATCTTTTCAACGCCTGTTGAGTTTTACTTATTCTATTCAGATACTTACACTTCTGTCCCTCTAAGATGAAGCATGTTATTTGTACTAATTATGAGCATTAGAGTCTCTTTGACCCTATTTTTACTTAAATACTTATCAATAAATATATACTTAGAAAAAGAAGCCATCATACTGTTAGAATGTAATGATTTTTTATTTTTCCATCATTTTACATAAATATAAAGTAACATAAAATTTGAAATAGTTAGACTATCATTTCATTTATATTTTCATAGTTGATTTATTTTAGTAAAACAAGTTCCAAGTAGAAGAATTAAATTTCATATTCATGGTCTTGTTGTGGATACTCTGTAGTACTGATAACAAATCAAATGGTGTGTCTAATTTCTTTGTAGCTTTGCTGGTGGAACATGGGATTGGGAATATTTAGGATTTGCGTCACCTGAGGTAATTGTTCCGTGGGACTTTGTTTTTTGTATTTTTCCTAAGTGCCATCCTGCTTGCATTTGCATCCTCATCTATTCTAAATCCTGCTGAGATGATCAGCAAGGCCATCTCTTTCCTTTGTAACAAAAAGGTCTTGACATAGCCTGCATCTAGAATATCATCACATTACTAAATAACTCTCCATCATTACTCTCTCTGTCTAAAAAGAGAACTAGACAAGCTTAATTTAGCAAAGGAGAAAGAGTGGTAAGGATGTCAGAATCGCAAGATAGAAACCAACTCAGCAGTGTGAACTTTGCCAGTGTCCTCCCATCACATGTACGTCACTCTTCTTGTGGCTTCTGGCTCTGACAGCAGCCTTGGGAATCCTGAATGTTGAGGGCCTGTGACCATTGTCTGTCCATTAAAACTAATGCAAAATTTATGCAAATTTAAAGATTTTCCACACATTGTGACACTTTGAAATTTGTATGACTCTGCCTTAACATAGACTGTGTGGAAAAATAACAAACTCCCAACAGATTTCCAGATTAAATGTACAGTTTTTTCAGGCAGGTTCAATCCCATCTTATTCTCTTTAAACTGACTAGGTCAGTAGCATTACTGGCCATTTTAGCAACTTGAAAGGCAGGAAAGCCCAGTGGGAGGGCACAGCTGAGAGTCTGAGGGACACCTGAATTGAAGTGCAAGCTGCAGCTTGGGTAGCTCTTAGCCAGTGTTCTTCTTTAATTTCTCCTCTTTAAAAGGTGGTGCTGAGACCACTTGAAAGTTCTGGAAGCATTGAAGCACTTCATCAAGTCACTGGCAGAATTGGTGCTCCATAAATGGTGGCCATTATTATTATTTCTTTAAGATTTCTTTCTTTTTTTTTTTTTTAAAGGAAATTTTACAGAGTGCAGGAGAGACAGAGAGAAAGATCTTCCATACTCTGGTTCACTCCGCAGTGGCTGCAGCAGCCGGAGCGGAGCCAATCTGAAGCCAGGAGCTTCTTCTGGGTCTCCCACAAAGTGCAGGTTCCCAAGGCTTTGGATCATCCTTCACTGCTTTCTCAGGCTACAAGCAGGGAACTAGAAGGGAAGTGGAGCAGCCAGGATATAAACCAGTGCCCATATGGGATACTGGCACATGCAAGGTGAGGACTTTAGCCACTAGGCAATTGCATCGGACCTGGCTGTTATTATTTTAAACCAAAAAATTCTAAGTAGCCTTTTTCCCTGTAAATCCCTGAATTTTTCCATCTTTTTGCAACTTTAACACTCTGAAGCCATTTGAACCCTCTTGACTAAAACCTTTTTTTTTTAATTACTTATTTTGAAAATTTAACAGATTAGGAAGGGAAGGAGGAAGAAGGAGGCAGTGGCTGTGGGTGGAGGAGAGAGAAATGTTTTCATCCCGCTGGTCCACTCTCCGGATGGCCATACTAGCCAGGGATATGTCGGGCAGGTGAGCCAGGAGCTAATCACATGTCCCACGCTGCCACGAAGATGACAGGCGCCCAGACACTTGGGTCATCTCGTACTGCTGACTGAATCAGAGGTGGAGCAGCCGAGGCACGAACCAGTGCCTCTGTGATCTGTAGGCATCTCAAGCTGTGGTTTTACCTACTGTGCTGTAACACGGGCCGCCTAAAGCCCTGTCCTTCTGCTGACTCACAAATCGTAGGAATTTTTGAAAATTTTTGGAAAAATTTTACAACAGCAATTTTTTAACCTGTTGCCTTGTGAGAGAATGGCATTTGAGAATTCTCCATCAGAATAATAAGAAGCATAAAGTCTTCTTTTGGCACTTTCTAAAACTTTATGCTTTTCCTGAACTGGAAATGTGTAAGAAATGTGGTGGTCGTCAGCAGTGGTGGTCCAGTGAGCCCTGGTGAGATAAATGGCCCACCTGGAGGCACAGGCCTTCAGGAAGACAAGGAAGCGATGCCGCAGCCCCGGGAGCTCACACGTCGCACCAGGCCTGGAAGGGGAGCTCCTAGCACTTAGTCACAGGGAGCAATTCAAGTAAATTTCACTGAAGTGGTTTGATGTGGACTTTTATCTCGGATATAGAATTGGCTTTCGCTGTTGCCAGTACTTTCACTGTAGAAGCATGTTGAATATTCTAGGGTAACTGTGGTCACCATAAAGCTGAGTATCTTCAGGCTGATAACACTGATGCAGTGGTTCGTGGCTTTTTCTGCTGCTGCCTTGTCCTCTGGGTCTCCTGTTGTCTTTGCTTCTGTTTGTGAATGTGCATTTCTTGCCAGAGATTAGCAGGTGCTCTCAAGGCATAGGCTCGTGTAGTTACAATGCTTTTAAAGTCAGAAATGTAAAGTAGACTCACAGACATTTGCTTAAGTCAGTATCCTTCCTACACACTAAACACTTGCTTTTCCTGTGTTGAGAACAGCATCACATACCAGCCAGTATAGGAACGAAGCCAAATCACATCCTACTTTTAAAGCTAACCTGGGACTGGCACATTGGCTCAATTGGTTAATCCTAATAATAATGTTTTGAAAAAGTTTAAAAAGAGGATCTGGCATAATAGCCTAGTGGCTAAATCCTCACCTTGCAACCCCCAGGATCCCATGTAGGCACCAGTTTGTATCCCAACTGCCCCACTTCCCGTCCAGCCACCTGCTTGTGGCTTGGGAAAGCAGTAAAGGATGACCCAAAGCCTTGGGACCCTGCACCTGTGTGGGAGGCCTGAAAGAAGCTCCTGGCTCTTGGCTTCAGATAGGCTCAGCTCCAGCTGTTGTGGTCACTTGGGGAGTGAACCAGTGGATGGAAGATCTCCCTGTCTCCTCTCTGTAAATCTGCCTTTCCAATAAAAATTAATAATTTTTTTTTAATTTTAAGAAGAAAGTTAACCTAGCATTTTTTTCCAATCTCGTTATCTGACTGAGAATCCTGCATAGCATTCCCAAAGAATAGGAAAGCCAGCCATCTGGCGAGTGCTGAGCAAAGTATGTGTGTTCTTTTTACCCCCTGTTGCACCTGTGACAGTCATTTAAAAAAAAACAGCTGACAGGGAGTAACTAAACATCAAAAAAAAAATGATATGGAACTAGTAATTAGATAAGAAAGTGCTTGACATCATGGGGCAGGAAGAGAGGGTCTGGTACAAGCTGGCATTGGACCAGGCAGGTTATTCCCGGTTATTCCCAATATGTCTAGGCAATGGTAATATTTAATTGAAAATAGTCTTTAGCCATTTCACCTTTTCTGTTTCCTTGGCATGGTACCGCCTGAACTTTTTCTAAAGCCAAAGTGATTTTATAACATGTCTGTAAAATTGCACATTTTCCCTCCTTGGGGGTAGAAAATGCACTGTTTGCATTCAAAGCCTGACATCCTTCCTGTGCCGTGTAATCTTTGGTCCCTGCAGGAATATGCTGAGTTCCAGTACCGGAGGCGACATAGGCAGCGTCGCCGTGGAGATGTGCACAGTCTGCTGAGAAATGCCCCCGACTCTGATGAGCCCAGCGAAAGCACCATAGGTAAGCCCTGGGCCTGAGCACAGCCTGCCCCCAGCTCTCCCAGACGCCCATGAACAGTGCTGATGGTAGTGTCCTTATGTTCCTGAGGGATTGTGCCGTCACAGGATGCAGAACACCACGGGGTCCCAAACACGGGTGTGGCAAGCAGCCTGCCCTCGGGATTGTGTGGGACTGTGGAACAGTGCACTCAGATCCCACATTCTACAGAGTGGTCGAGGCAGGCCCCTGCGGAGCACCCAGTAAGCTGCAGCTGTTGGTGGTTACTGCTCTTGTCTGGTCGTCTCCAGGAGTTAGTGATGGTCTTTAAAGGAAGGCAGGAGAACTCAAGTCATGACTTTAGGGGGAAAAGAGAAACAGATGTGCTTCACGCTCATGAAGGGAACCCTTCGGGGCAGGAGCCATGGGACCGGGACGTGAGATTGCCAGTGGTAGCATTACATACACAGCGTGGCCTATGCTAAGGCAACAGGAAGTGAGAAATCCCAAGATTGTGTGAGCTGTGGAGGGTGGTGGGTTCAACAGCACTGAAAGAAATTGCCCACCTAAATAACAGGGTGCATGGGAAAAGTGAATCTTCCTGTCTGTAATTGTCTTGCTGCCCATTGCTTTGGAGCAGATATTGCGGAAGGTGGCAGTAGCCGCAGGCCTGGCACCTCCGTGGTCAGTTCTGCCTCTATGAGCGTTCTGCACAGCTCCTCCTTGCGTGACTACACCCCTGCCAGTCGCTCTGAAAACCAGGACTCTCTGCAGGTAGGCTTTGTGCGCAGCCTGGCTGCCCGGGCATTGCTCTTGGTCTGTGTGGCATGCTGTCCTGTTTTCGCCTTCACGGCTGTCCTGCGTGTTTCCCTTCCCCCATCTTGATTGCACGGGGATCTACAGAACAATTCTGTTAGTTCAGATCTGTTTAAGGTCTTTTTCCCCCTCTGGCATGAGCAAGGAGAAAATTCATGTAAGATTTGAGTAGATGAATAACTGGTACAATTAAAAGTAATTCTGTTTGGGGAAACAAGCACAAGTGGCTGATAGAGTTAACTTGGGCTTTGTTTCCTTTCGCCATAGTTGAAGGTGGCTTTGCTTTCTTTGCTTCAGGCCCTGAGTTCCCTGGAAGAAGATGACCCTAACATACTACTCGCAATCCAGCTGTCACTGCAGGAGTCCGGCCTGTCCCTGGACGATGAGACTAGAGAACTGGTCAGTAGTGAAGCATCCCTGGGAGCAATAGGCACTTCCTTGCCATCCAGGCTGGACTCGGTGCCCAGGAGCACTGAGAACCCACGGGCTGCCCTGAGCAGCTCTGAGCTGGCAGAACTCGGGGACAGCCTCACGAGACTCGCAGCAGAATGCGACCCCTTTCCAGCTGACACGGTGAGTTCACGCCCTCTCGAAGAGGCAAGAAGGGACTTGTGCCCCTCATCCAGTGACCCTGACCCAGCTGGCCAGGACCCCACCATCAGCGACAATCTTCTCGGCAACATCATGGCCTGGTTTCATGACATGAGTCCCCAGAGCATTGCCCTGATCCCTCCAGCGACAGCGGGGCCCAGTGCGGAGCCCGTGCCACCTCGTGTGGAGGCCGCATTGGAAGGCATGAGGGAGGTGGAGCCAGCGCGGCAGGGAGAAGAGCCGGAGTACGAGGCTGCTGGCGGAAGCCAGGGAGAAGGCGGTCAGTTGGAAGGTTTGCTGGCTGAGGAAGCCACGCCATCCCTTGGTGACGATGGGAACGAAGCAGGCGGCCAAGGGCGCGGGCCAGGGGCTCCAGGTCAGACACCTCCGACGTTCGGTGACTGGCGGGGACATGCACACCTGGTGTGAGCTGCCGCAGGCACTGAGGCCTGGCCCAGGACGCTGCGCTTCAGTCGTCCCAGCTCTGCGCTGCACCATAGTAACACACAGGGGCCGCAGCTCGGCTCTCGGTTTTCGCCGTACAGGGAATTTCTTTTGTATTTAATTGGATAGCTTTCCCCCTTTTTGCTGGCAGAAGGAAGAGCAAGAGAAAAAGAAAAGCAAAATACACAGGTTGTATTCCTCATCTTAGAAAGAGGCATCATCTGTGTGGCCCAGGAGCACTGTAGGGGAGGCTCCTGTCCTCGTCTGGGGTGACTTTCCTCTGAAACCACCCGAGTGCCCGTTTTCTTCATCTGAACGCTCCCCTGGACAGACCTGGTAGCTGTGCATCCTTGGTCCCCGTCGGTCCTGTCTCAGCCTCATGAATCGAGCGCTCCAAGGCTTCTCTGTAGTGTCTACCACAGGCTCATGACTTTTCATTTTCACATGAATCAAAAATTTCTTTCCCTGTCCATATCCAGCCCAGTTGTGCCAAACTCTGTCTCGTGCGCTGACCCACAAGGCGGTTAGGTGTCCCACGTGCCAGCGTGCTCCAGGGCAGCGTCAGCCTTCTCAGGAGGTCACGGTGCCACTCGGCAGCAAAGGTATTCCCAACTTCGTGTGCTTCTGTTGCCATGGAGACTGCATTTCACTAAATGTAGCCTGTAGTTTAAGTTAACTAAACCTAATGCTGCTGTTAAAACAGTTTATTTTAATATGAAAATACAGTTGATTAGCAACAGCGGTGCTGTGTTTTAAGAGACACTTTATCAGAAGTGCAATCCTAGTTCTTTGTTTTCACAATTTTACAGTGCATTCTAATTACTAATGGGTGCAATTACTTTTAATGGTGTTTTATAAAATAGAAAAAAAGTGGAGTTTTCATGAGTTATAGTAAATCCCACAACTATTTAAAAATTCAATAAAAACATCCTTCGCAACATGTTTTATCGTGCCTTTGCCTAACCCGAACGGATAGTTGCCAGTTAAATAAGTGAGTAATTCAAATTTCAGTGTCTCTTCTGAAACAACTATGCTATGAATTGCGAAGACCTCCATAAAACCACCCATGGCCTTGCCTTTACAGTAAACATGACAACTAAATGTTCAGTTTGTTTGCCTAGATTGCAGATGCTGACGTGTCTATTGCACAATACTCGTGTTCTGTGTGATTACTGTTCAGTGTTGGAAAATGATCAGCTTCCTAGTTACCAGTGTCTTAACGTGAAGAAAACACTGCTCTTAGTTGTAATGAAGATACCGTGGTACAGTGTGTAATTAAAACTAGAGAAAACTGTTGGAATGGCTGTTTTGCTTACATATTCTCAGAAATAGCGTTGCACAAGCAGAGTAGGTCCGTGAAGCGTTCCACGCGTCTCCGCGGCATGTTGGCTGACGCCTGCAGAAAGCCGAACCGCGGCGCTTTGTACAGGCAAGTCCTCGGTGGGGTGTTAGCGCTGGTATCCACATGAGTGGTGATGATGATTTGTGATTTTTTGTTTCGTTTTGTTTTGCTTCTCCACCCTCCCCCCAACCCTGGTTTTGAAATGTTTTTGTGCTTTGACTAAACGTGGCAAGAACATTGTTAATTTAAGTATTGAATAGTCCCAGGTTCTGCCAGGATGAACCATGTGGGACTTGTCCCTGCACCGTGGATGTCAAAGGTCTACATTTGATTTTGTTTCTCCGATTATCAGACACTTGATACCAATCCCTGTGGACATGGGGGTGGGGAGAACTGTTAACTTTATCTGCAGTGTATTACTGTACATGCAACTAAAGTAGTCCATTCAAGGATTTTTTTTTTTACAAATTTATTTTGCATTAACAACCCTCAACACCACTAATTTGTAGAACATGCTGTGAGTTTCCGATGGAAACAGCCATTGCATCCCTCTGAGGCATTTGGAGCAGGTGCGCGGGGAGCGCGGGCATCCCTCTGAGGCATCTGGCGCAGGTGCGCGGGATGAGTGGGCATCCCTCTGAGGCATCTGGCACAGGTGCGCGGGATGAGGGATGCGCGGGCGCTGTGTGGGAGGCAGCACTGGCCGCAGCCCGCTTCCCTTGCAGCCTGTGCCACATAGCCTTTGTTTCCGTGCCCTTCTTTCCTGAGCGTGAGAAGTGATCGTTACCCAGTTTGTATTTCCTTGGTACATATTTTAAAAACAACACAGTCACTGACTTTACAATTCAGTAATAACGTTTGGCAAAGCCTATTTTGTAAACAAGTTAATTTTATAATGTAAAAAAAAAGTTAATTTTACCTTGTTACTTGCACTTTCCTAGTCTATACTTGATACATTCCCACTTTATATGCAGTAGGATTCTACAAACGTGCAGATGTTGGCCAAATGAATGCTGTTAATAAGATGTAAAATTATTTGATTAAACATTTATTACTTAAACTACTTCCATTTGTCTCGTTACATTATAGACTTTTTTAGCCAAGTCAGGAAGCTGAATTGCTTCAAACTAAATCTCCTGTAATATATAACAGGGTTAATTGGGGTTTTTTTTCTTTGCACATGATTGCTGTCTGATACCTTTGTACCAACCCACTTAACTTTGAGCACCGTACACTGCGGTGATAAACCCAAGCACACTGTGGGACAATGATGCTCATTGCTGTTTTCATGCTGTTAAGGGGAAAAACCTTAAGGGTTTTCTGTTGCATTCACTAGTAGATACATATCAAAAAAGATATAACTTTCAAATGTATTTTGTGAAGCTGCTTAGGAAAGTGGGGAAAAATGTATGCTAGTTGGAACAAAAATGACCACCTCTCCATCACTTGAGCATTCCATCCATAGGCCTTACGAGGCAGACTGGCGAGAGCCCTACGGGTGCCACGCACAGACTGCAGGCCCCCACGGGTGTCTGATTGGTGGGTGCCAGTGAACCTGTCGTAAAGCCTTTAAGTGTGTGGATCTGAAGCTTAACTGCTACCAGGGTGCACAGACTGCCCTACTCCTTGAGTGGCAGTGTTTATTAAAGCCACCCTGTCTCTCTCTTTTTTTTTTAAAGATTTATTTATTTTTATTGCAAAGTCAGATATATGTAGTGAGGAGGAGAGACAGAGAGGAAGATCTAATATGTACTGATTCACTCCCAAAGTGACCGCAACGGCCAGAGCTGTGCCGATCCAAAGCCAGGAGCCAGGAACTTCTTCCAGGTCTCCCACACGGGTGCAGGGGCCCAAGGCTTTGGGCCGTCCTCCACTGCTTTCCCAGTCTACAAGCAGGGAGCTGGATGGGAAGTAGGGCCTCTGGGATTAGAACCGGCTCCCATATGGGATCCTAGTGTATTCAAGGCAGGACTTTAGCCACTAGGCCACCACATTGGGACCACTTGTCTCACTTTTGTTCTCTTTTCATTCTCAAATATTTGTCACTTGCCCGTTACTAAAAACCTGAGACTTAGTGGAGTTTGCTTGTAATTTCAAAAACAGTTTTACTTGGGAAACAAAAGCATATCGCTTTGCAATCTGAGTGTCAAGCGGTGATACTAATTTCGTGGTTCTGTTTGTTTTAAGGCTGAGAGTAAAAGCTCAGAAAAAAACTGTCATGTGCTCAGCTGTTGGCTGACTCGAAGTTTCAGCTCAGCAGTGTGCTGTGAACATAATTATTGGCTCTTTTATTTTTTTTTTTAAGATTTGTTTGTATTTTAGAAAAGCGAGGTTACAGAGAGACACAGATACCAGCCATCGGTTCACTCCGCAAATGAGCACAGTGGCTGAGCTGGATTAGTCCAAGAAGAGGAGCCAGGAACTTCTGGTTCTCCTACATGAGGTCCCAGCACTTGTGCCTGCTTCACTGCTTTCCCAGACCATTAACAGGGGGCTGAATCAGAAGTGGAGCAGCCAGGACTAGAATGAGTGTCCATATTGGATGCTGCACTGCAGGCAGCAGCTTAGCTTACTGTATCACAGTTCCAACTCATGAATCTTAACTTTATATTACTGCCTTGACAGATATTAAAGCCTTCTCAGAAAGGTAAATTTCATTCTGTTTTAGAATGTTCTAGAAAGTTAAATGACTCGCTAGGCTTTGCAACATAACAGTCCTTATTTTAGGCACTGACCAGAGTCATTGTTCTGAAAGAAAGATGGGCAAGTTCCCTTTAGTTCTCACTTCGCTTAGGACTGGCAGGGAGCTGACCATCGGAATTATCATGAGTCTTTGAAAACGTAATTTGACAATATTCTTTTTTAAAAGAGTTATATATTTGAAAGTTAGAGTTATACAGAGAGAGACAACAGAGGTCTGTCTACTGATTCACTCCCCAAATGGCCATGACAGCCAGTTCTGGGTCAGGCCGAAGCCAGACACTTCGTTCTGCTCTAATGTGGGTCCAGGAGCCCGAGTCCTTGGGCCAGGTTTCACTGCTTTCCCAGGAGTATTAGCAGGGAGCTGGGTCTGAAGAGTAGCAGCAAGAACTTGAACCACACCCCACAGGGTCTGCTGGTGTTGCAGGTGGTCATAACATGCAACGCCACATCACTGCCTCTTGACGATATTCATCATCAGGGTCTTTGTTGACCCTCAGCCAACTGTTTTGTTAAGTACTTGTCACATAAGTGCCTGGCATGATGTGAGGCATAAGGTTACAGTTTGAGAGATAAATCCATGGAGGCTGACATGATGGCTCAGCTAGCTAATCCTCAGCCTGCAAGTACCAGCATCCCATTTGGGCACCCGTTTGCTTCCCAGCTGCTCTGCTTCCCATACAACTCCCTGCCTGTGGCCTGGGAAAAGACAAGTATGGCCCAAAGCCTTCGACTCCAGCTCTCACGTGGGACACCTAGAAGGAGCTCCTGGCTCTTTGAATCGGCTCAGCTCCAGCCACTGTGGCTGCCTGGGGAGTGAATCAACAGATGGAAAATCTTTCTTTATATCTTCTTTCTGTAAATCTGCCTTTCCAATAAAAATAAATCTTTGGGGGAAAAAAGGTAAAAACCTGAAAGAGTGCATAATAAGAAAATGGTTGTAGTTGGAAGAGACAATTCTCCCATTTTTTGCCTGGGCCACCTCTCAGGATTTATGTAAGTAGTGACCTTGAAGGTAAGGAGCAGGCTTAGCCACCTGCTATGGAGGCAGTGAGTTCTATGTACACGGTATCCGTGGGCAGCATCCTGGATCCGACAAGTGCCGGGTGTCTGTCCAGGCCCACAGTGCAGCCCCTGCAGAACTGCAAGTGGGGAATTGGCCGAGATGTTCATTCTGCCTGCTGTGCTGAGGGAGAAATGGCTCCACCTCTCACCCGGGAGACTCCTCTGTTGGCACGCCTGGGACTGCCACGGGGTACTCATTTGCCTTGAAGCAGGACAAGAGGACACTGAAGATCCGGAGGCTTTGCCCAACAGGATGGGCTGCTGAGAGACGCTTTGCAGACAAGCAGCCACAGCCAGCTTCAGGAAGGTAAGATGCCCCATGGTCTGGGAGCCCACGTTCTCACCCACTTGATGAGCAAGGTGTGGGGTTGCAGGAGGCTGGGGGGGCTCCAGGGTGCAGCTTGCGGCAGGAGAGGGGAAGACCCAGCCCGTGGCCCCTGCATGACCTCAGGCAAGACTGAAAATTAACAGTCTGTAGCAGGCTAAGTTTTTTAATAATAAATTTTTGATGATGTTTATATAGTTGAGAGGGATGTGTGCCCATGTGGACCTCCAGTTAGGGTGGGAGAGCTGTCCAATTTGTTCAGCCCTCCGTGGTACTAGACGTCCTCTACAGGCCTCAGTGAACTGGTTCTCCTGTGCCCAGGAGCATCTGGACATGCCGTCTGCTGCACAGGCCTCAGCAGCTGTGCAGACCCAGTTCTGACACATGTACTCCACAGTCAGACCACAGAACCAGTGATTTTCACTGTGATTGGAGTTCTGAGTCCAGTGACCCAGTAATGGGGGTGGAGGGCAGTCCCCAAAGAAACCTTGCCAGAGTTGACCCCAAAACTGACTTCCATGTGTGCCAGTCAGTGTGGGGTCCAGGTCAGTCCATCACCCACATCAGCCAACACACACATTGATCAGTTCTGTCCCCAGCCCCATTTCATACGCAAACCAATGGATGCTGTGGCCCAGCCTAATCCTGCCCACCACACATTTGACCCTCACATATACCAGCGGGAACTCCAGCCTAGCTGGAGCAACTTCCAATACATCCCACTAGGCCTGCCCCCAACCCTGGTTTCTATGCATGGTGTTATGTTTAGCAGACTGGTCCAGTCTGTGCCACATCCCATTCAATTCTTGCACACATTAATGGGCTTGGAGCCTGGTTCAACCCAGCAAGTCCCACTATCCAGTCCATACTCATGCTGGCAGATGCCACTGCCTGTCTAGCCAGGACCTCCCTAGCCCTGGTTCTCATGCTCACCAGTGGCATCTGCAACCCATCAGAGAGGTGCCCACAGTTTCCCTACCAGGCCCACTCTTAGCCCCAAACCCTGGCACTCTCCAGGTGGTTCTGTGGTCCAGGCTGACAGGACTTGCCCCAGAACCAGCACTTGCCAGCTGATGTTGCAGCAAAGCCCAGCCAGCCTGCACTTACTCTAACGCATGCATGCAGTGGAACTGGTCATTTAACCCTGCCTGGCTCTCCCCCTAAGCTGCACACATACAGGCCAGCAGGTATTGTAGCCCTGCCCAGCCTGGTCTGCCCCAATCCCAGTTTTCTTGCTCACAAGCAGGAGCAGTGACCAGGAGAGGAGCCCCACAGCTCTCCAGTGGGCGTACTTGGTATGCTCCAGTGGGTGCTGCCTGGCTCGGCCCAGTCTAGCAAGCTGACATTGCTGTTAATCTTCTATGGCCTGCAGATAGAATCACAAATATCCAAACACTCATGGCAGGAGCCTTGGTGAAGAGAGGGACTGAAACGAGCTGTTGTCCACGGGTCTTCGTTGGCACCCTGCGGTCTGGCAGGCTGAAGGAAGCCTTTTCTGGCCGGGGTCAGTGATTCTGTGGGCCTCGCTGAGTTAAGGCCCCCCCCAGAGTGTCTCAGTGGCCTCACTTCTGGTTGGCAGCCTGGTGGCATGGTTGGCTGCTTTGCCTACAAGTGTGGAACAGGTTGCACCCCGTCCCTGGCCCCTGCCTTAGCTGACCTGGCCAGCAGTGAGGACAAGGTTCTGAGTGCACGGTGACAAAGGGTGTCTCAGGTGGGAAGGCGCATGGGAGAGGGAAGAGGGGAGCTGAGGGTCACCACCGTGCTGTGAGAGGACTCTGTCCACTGTGAGGGACTGTGTGACATCGTACCTGTTGGCCATTTTTCACGTTCACCCCATGTACCTCCTGACTTCACATGTGTCCTCAGCTCTGTCTGCATTCAGAGAGTGGAATAGGCTTCTGGACTTACTTGGCTGAGAGGAATGAAAGATAAAGGATCCTTGTGGCTGGGGGCTCCCCAGGGGATTCTGGGTAA